TATTAGGATATAAGCTTTGTGTATCCTTGGTTCTCATGAAGAAATGCTGATAGAGAGACTGTTCTCAAAATCAAGGGACCACTCTGCCCTTGCAAATGTTGTTGGGATGTGGAGTTCCAAGTAAGTGGTAGTATGCTCTCTTGAGAAGCAATTGGTTGTAATGAAATGCTTGTGGCTATGCTAGTAGCACATGTATTGCATTGTCATTGTTTGTTCAGTGCAAGTATGGCAAATTGGCAAGTGGATTATTAAACTATGTGTGTCAGTATGTCTTGAATATAATGAAGCGTGTATGCTAATTATTGTCAGACTGTCTAACCTTTGTCTACACAAGGTCAAGAATGTAATTCAAAAGAGCCTACATTTCTCATTGTAATTCTTCTGTTGATTTGTAATTCTAATTATAAGTCCTTATAATCCAGTTAGCACAATAAGCTAACTGGATTATCAATATCAATAAGCACAATAAGCTCCTTATTCCGGCACTCTGGAGTTATGATAAATATTAGTTGTGTTACATCCCACACAACATACTGTAGTTGTTGTGTTCTCACTGATATTAAAGAAGCTGTGTCATTCCACACTTATAATGATAGTATAATGCATGTATTTATTGATGATAGGTATTGTCAGCTGATGGTACACAGGAGGTTGGTAAGATCAGTAAGAAATGGTCTGGGCTAGCTAAAGAGTATTTCACTGATGCTGACAACTTTGGAGTCACATGTAAGCTTGCATGTAAACTTTGCAACAGCAGTCATCATTGAATTGGTGGATTTTGATTTCTTGCCAATTCAGAGTTTAAGGCACATAGCAGGCTGCCAAATAAAAAGTCTGTAGAGTATAGTAGGCAATTAATAAGAGTGTTATCAAGCTTATCATATTTGTGTAATCAGTGTAATCTAATAATGCTCCTCCTCCCTTTTCCTACTTTGCATTTTGTCTCTAAGTTACTACTGTTCTCTCTCTCTCTCTCTCTCCCATCTAGTTCCTATGGACTTGGATGTGAAGATGAAGGCTGTTACACTAGCTGCAACATTCCTTATTGTAAGTCTACACTGTATTATTATACATGTACATCAACATCCTCTTTATTTATGCTCTATGCAGGACTTTATGTTCTTTGAGGACAATCAAAACAACAGAAACAATTAGATATGTTTTATGCTGCATTTATTGCTAAACGATAAAGATAAACAAAGGAAATAATATTATTATTGTTTAACTTGTCTATTTGTCATTCGTCTTGTTCACTGTCATCATTAGTCGACTTGCTATCTATCAGTTATTTTTAACTCGGTTCCAAGTTGCACACTTCAACGATATTCACACGTTGCATTGGTAGTATATATAGTTCCAATTGGATTATGATTATACTAATTCATTATCACTGTACAATTAGTAATTCATGCTGAGCACCATCTCAAAGCACACAACAATTATAATTACTAGACGAATGTAAAACATTAAGGGGCTCAGCCCACTAGCCACGCTATATTTTAAAGGTTATATGGTATAGAGCTACATTATTGTACATGTACATGAGTAAATACAGTAGTTTGTAATGAAGTCATCATGCTTGGAAATACAAAATTTCTTTATCAGTTTATCACATTCTGCAGCAAAAAAGTTGTGTTGGAAGCCAGAGACAGTAACTGCAGTCATAGGTTATGTCAGTAGTTGTGGAGGCTTTACAAGCTCACAACTGTGGCATATCTGCCTTCTTAATCTTCCTTGTTGTATTTGGAAAGTAGTAGAGACTTCTCTTGCATTCTTGCTGACTCAAGTGAGTGACTTGTAACTTGTAAGGTCAAGAACATGAACTGAGAACAATGAAGAATTGATAGCTGGCGCCATTTTATTTCACTGTGACCACACCCGTTTTCAAAGAAGATTAAGATTAGGTTATTAAAATAGGAAAATTTTTCATACGGATAAATAGGGGTGACGTACGTGTACAAACAAACAAACAAACAAACATACTCTACTCGAACTAGTGGGCTTCGCCCAATAATAGTTAATATATCTGTTTCATAATGTCATAAAATACTGGATTAGTTTATTTCAAATCAAAAGACACGAGGGCATTTTCAATTCTCTCAGCCTTCATATTGATTTTAACACCATTCATTCCAGCCCCAATGATAGCAGCACCAATGGAACTTGCTTCTTCATCCTTTAATCTGTAAAGTTTAATCTCCAGTCCAGGTTCCATTTGGTCTATTGCACTTCTAAATCCTTTTAAAGAACATCCAGATGTAGATTTTATACACGAAGTCTTTTACCTTCTTTGAGTAGATCCCAGCTTTTAAAAACTGATCCTTCTAATAATACAGGAATAATGCCTCCAAGTTGCTCTTTCAGCTCCTATTTTTACAGTGTCAAATATTAAAAGTTTGAGCCAACTAGCACTAATTTTTTTGAATTATATTTAGTTAAGTACTCACTTACTGATGATACATAAGGAATTATGGCCATTATGTGCCTGCCAAGTTGTTCCCCAGCATCATAAAACAATTGACAAACTACTGGATCTGCTGTTCTACCAGCAACTGTGTCACATACAACTCTCAATAATTATAGCTATTATACATTATTCACATACCTTCAGCCAACACAGCACAGAAGCTAGCTATTTTAGATTTAGAGAAATCCAAGTAGAGATGATTTAAAACATCATACCTGTGTTTAATCTAAAAGGAAAAATGATGACCATGCATGTAATGATTATGCTATAATTATAGCGTACATTAAAAAATTTTATAACTTTAGATCGTAAGACATCAATGCTCATTCCATCTGGCAGCTGCTTCATGCCATCATCAAAATCATACACAAGTTTAATGCTTCTATGAGCTATCCAATATGCTGCGACAATTATATAAATAAAATCATTTAACTCTATCCATGTTCTGACATACCTGATCCTTCATCTCCAAGCATATGACCCCACCCTCCACAGCGGTGTATAGAAACATTATGAGCATCAAAGAGCTCACAGCAGGATCCTGTTCCTGATATTAAGACAATACCTCCTCCTCCTTGAAATGTGAAAGCGATTGGTCCAAAGATATCAGTGTTAATATAATAAGATAAGCTAAGATCAGGATATCGTGTAGATAGATCATTCTTAATTCTCTTTTGTGCTGCATCTTGCTCACAACCACTGGCAGATATTCCCTATCATTGATAATCTATAATATCATGATATAACTTGTGTATCATACTAAAGATTCCAAAGGATGAGATATTTGTAGGCCTGCTTCTTGCTTAGCCATGTCAACTAACTGCTTGATCTTTTCTACACATGTATCAAATGAAACTTGCTAAATTTGCTTAAAATAATATAGTTATTTAGGTGTTTTCTACCCATGGATTTAGTCCTTTTCCTTTAGACTGGCCAATAACTGAGCCATCCTCTTTTATAATAATAGCCATAGAACGAGTTGCACCGCTAATAGAGACGTTAATAGCATTGCAACCAAAAATACAATTGCATTTACCCTAACACACCTCCAAAGTATCTTGCCATTTCTAAAATAATCGAGTATTAAAAGTTAGTTATCTAGTTATTAAAAAGAACCTTGGAAAAATGAATTTTCCCGGGAAATTTCCTGAGAAAAAAATTGATAAGTTCCCGGGAAAATTATTTTCCCGGCAAATTTCCCTGGAAAAATTAAAATTAATAATTTTGCCTGAAAAATAATTTTTCCAGCAAATTTCCTAGGAAAAATAAATTTTCCCGGCAAATTTCCTGAGTAAAAAATTAAAATTAATAATTTCCCAGGAAAAATTTCCTGGGATAAAAATAAAAAATTTCCAAGAAAAAATATATTTTCCCGGCAAATTTTTCAGGAAAAAAGTTGATAATAATTTTCCCGGAAAAAATAAAATTTAATATTCCTGGCAAATTTCCCGGGGAAAATCGATAATTTTCCCGGCAAATTTCCCGGGAAAAAATTAAAATTAAAATCTAATTCTAATAATCTAATTAGTATTTAACCCTTTAGTCTCAAACATGGAGACAGAAGAGTTGAAGCATTCTACTACTGCGGGTCCAATCTCGGAGCAACAGAGCTCATCCTCGGCGTCATCTGTGGCTCAAGCAAAAGGAATCCCCTCTGCCAGCAAAGTAATAATCACTAGTACAGTCCTTAAACACCCCACATGGCAGCAAAATTAGTTAAAACAGGCACATTGTTATGTGATCGATTGTCTCTTATATGGAAGACTCCCATCACATTATACTCTACCACTGTGTTATATACTAGCATAATACTAGCCTCACACGCTGTACTGTGTTATATCTAGGTGATGTGTACATGTGCCATATGGTTGTAGGGCGTGGCTCGACAATCCAATTATTACATATTAGAGCACACATATTACTATCGATGATTAGGGTAACCGTCCAAACTACAGTCTGAAGTTTACGCTGGTTGGACACACTAAGGCAGTCTCTTCGGTAAAGTTCAGTCCTGATGGCTCGTGGCTTGCTAGCTCTTGTAAGTCCACATTACAGTGATGATCCTTTGTGTTTATCACCCATAGCTGCTGACAAGACTGTTAAGATTTGGGGAGCATACGATGGGAAGTTTGAGCGGACAATCGTTGGACACAAGCAAGGAATATCTGATGTAGCTTGGTCACATGATTCAAGATACCTAGTGTCTGCCTCTGACGATAAAACACTTAGACTATGGGAAGCAGGCACAGTATGAGTCTCCTTCTTTATACTCTTTATATATGCTCTCTCTTTTAGGGCAGATGCTTAAAGACACTCAGAGGTCACACAAACTTTGTTTTTTGTTGTAATTTTAATCCTCAATCAAACATAATCGTCTCTGGCTCTGTAAGTTGAAGAAAATGACATTAGGAATGTAATCTTTCTACCTCTTTTGCTTGTAGTTTGATGAGAGCGTGTGTATGTGGGACGTAAAGACTGGAAAGTGTATCAGAACCTTACCAGCCCATTCAGACCCTGTCTCTGCTGTACATTTCAATAGAGATGGCTCACTAATAGTCTCCAGTAGCTACGATGGACTCTGGTATGCAATGATGTTCATTATTATTATTAAATTGTCTCATTTGTAGTCGAATTTGGGACACAGCTTCTGGGCAGTGCCTTAAGACTTTAGTAGGTGAGTCAATCTATGCTGCAGAATGAAGGACATCTACTACTCTTCTTTCTCCTCCTTTCTAGATGATGAGAACCCTCCTGTCTCTTATGTTAAGTTCTCTCCCAATGGAAAGTATATTTTAGCAGCAACGCTTGACAAGTGATTAAATCGTTAATAGCATGTGGGATTTTATTTTGTTCTATAGTACTCTCAAGCTATGGGACTTCAGTAAATCAAAGGTGAGTCCAAGTTATTGTGGAAAGTTATAGTAATAGTAATTGTAATAGAAAATAAAAGGAGGGTGGTTTGTCATCCATTTTTTATGTTGTAAGCTGATTAGATTTTTATAGTCGCTCCAAAATTAGAGTACTGTAGTACAGGGTGTTGAACCGAATTTTGCCAAAAATGAAAAGGAGAGAGTTCTCCATTTTAAATTATTTTCTGGTACATAACATGTTCTTATGTTGTGTAGAAAGTGTGATGTGATTCTGATCAAAATTGGATTTTTACGAATTTTTAAAGTTACTCAAAAATTTTGATAAATGTCCCTATGGTAACTACAAAGAAGGCTAAAGAATTTTGTAGACTTTCTGTTGCATCATATTTGTTACATTGCATACTTGTGTATTCTGGTATACCCTTCTTTAGTGTTTGAAGACTTACACAGGACACAAGAATGACAAGTATTGTGTATTTGCCAACTTTTCTGTCACTGGAGGAAAAGTAATGCCCCAATGATCACACTATGAAATGTATGCGTGTATTCCTTTCCAGTGGATAGTCAGTGGATCAGAGGATAATATGGTTTATCTATGGAACTTGCAGACTAAAGAAATTGTCCAGAAATTAGAAGGACACACTGGTATAGTTCTTTTATTCGCTTGCCTCTCATTTTCTCTCTCATTTTAGATGTTGTGCTTTGTACAGCTTGCCACCCCACACAGAACATGATTGCGTCAGGAGCTTTAGAAAATGACAAAACTATCAAATTATGGCGTTCTGACAGTTGAAATTTATCGTTCAAACTCTACATATTAATAATTTCAATTCAAATGGCTGGCAAGTATTACAGTCAAAAATTGTATCAATTAAAGTTTATGTGTTAGAATAGAAGGCGTAGTACAGATCACAGTATAGATCTAAATATATCAAAAATATAGTTAAAATTGGTATTTAAAAAGTATTTGGAAACGCCAATTAGGATATCTTCACTCTTTTCTCAAACTCCACAAAAATCAGGACAGTCTAAAAATGAAATGCATTAGCAACAAGATCAGTAAACAATGCAAGTGTAACTTACCACAAGAGCGAGGCCTTCCTTTCCTTCCCCTTCCTCTCTTGGTTGTGTCATTGGTAGAGGAATCTTGACAGAACACTTGTGGTTTCCTCTTGTTCTTGGCCCTCACAGAAACAGTCATGTCATCAACTGACAGTGAGCGAGAAAAATTTGGCCTCCTGAATCGACTCTCCCTGAACAAGTCACGAAACATCTTCTCAACATCTTTGGCTGATGTATTGGGGCTACTGGCAATTGTAATGCAAGGGCTGGAACCAATCTCTGTACAGTTAATGGCAACATCAAACTCAAGCCTATCATCTTTTGTATTGGACTTAGACTTGGTTTTACCCTTCCTTTCCTTGCAGTATGCATCACCTAGTAGCATTGCAGTGCATCCAGTGGGTATATTGGAGCCTGGCACATATAATTCAGAGACGATTGAAGCAGCCAATTCATTGAGTTCTGCAGTTGTTGCATTGCAAATTTCATCAACAGCTTCTGCTGTAATCCTCACATCAGAGATTAGCCTAACTTGTGGAAGGCACTGGGTTTGAGCTAGCCCAACTGAAAATAATCCAGTCAGTCCAAGAAACACAAATAAAATTTTTGACATCTTTCGTTTTTGTCCCTTAAAGAATCTTCCGGTAAATGTCTATGAAGCAATGAGCTGCTCTTTCCTTTATATATATGCACTCAACTCCTTTAAGTTGCACAATTTATATGCTTCTGTTGACACAACTGGCAGCAATAAAGGAAATAGAGAGAGGGTAAGGCCAAGCCACCCTTTACAAGAATCCACTAGGTTTGCCAAAAAATAAAAGCATTATTAATAATTTGCAAGTTCATGGTAAATTATCTCTAGGTGTGACACAGGTTTGACAAAGCAGCATCAAAAACAGATTTAATAATAATCAAAATATTACAAATAATAATGAGCTAAAAACGTAAACAACAGAAGAACTTTCCAAATATGTTGTCAATGTTTATCTATAACATAAACCTACTCACATGCACACACACAATAATGCAGAGAGATAACATATAACTGTACATCATTTTATTATTATTATTATCATTATTATTGTTATTGAGCTAGAGAGCAAATGAGTCTTGAGCAAGCCTCAAAGAACTCCATTGTGTAATGTCTTTGGGGCAATTGGGGAGATCCTCCACCAAGAATACTCACTTCAGTCTTCTCTTCAGATGGATCAACGCCCTAAAAAAGAGAGAGAGTAGTGGGTAATTATTAATTAATAACTATGCCTGCTAAAACAGATACTGTTTCGTTACTAACTTTAAAGTCAAGTAGAAAGTTACGTTGATCCAACTGATAGAGCTGAAGATCCAGTTTAACGACACTGCTCTCATCAGCCGATTTCTTGTATCGACAACGAATGTGATACGTATTAACAACCTTCCAGTCAAAGTTTAAAGCTTTCAATTTTTTCATTATTTCCTAAATATTAAAGCCATTATTGTGATATCGCTAAAAAAGTACATGTAAAACCCTCTCATTCCTTTCATGCAATATAACTGAAAACTGCTTCAGCCTTCTTCTAGATATAAAACAAAAAAGCCTTCTACATACTTGCATTATGTTCTGAGGATGTGACTGAGAGCGGATACCAAGATGCCACTTTGGTTTTTTAAAAGAGCGTGGGAGTCGTATCGGAACTGAGTCTTCAATCACTAGTGAGGTTGATCTGTGCTTAGTCATCCCTAGAGGAAGGGAAGGGATCATGTACTGAAAGCAAAACTTAACAAAAAGGGGATCAACAAACACAAACAGAATCACCATAGCCAGACATGTGGTCAATCAAAATTATCAGAAAACAATTTTAAATGGAAAATTCTCTCCTTTTCATTTTTGACAAAATTTGGTCCGAGACCATGCATGTATACTATTATAGTACAGGGGGACTTTGGCCTAATTTTTCGAGGAACTTTTAAAATTCGTAAAAAAATCTAAATTTGATCGAAATCAATTGAAAGTTGATACACAATATAAGTACATGTATATGTATCAGAAAAAATCATAAAAATGGGAAATTCTTTCTTAGTCAATTTTGCCAAAATTTGGCCTGTGACCATGTACTATAAATAGTACAGGGACTTTGGCCCGATTTTTGAGCAACTTGAAAAATTCGTAAAAAATCCAATTTTGATCAGAATCACCTGAAACTTTCTACGCAACATAAGTACATGTATATGTATCAGAAAAAATCATAAAAATGGGAAATTCTTTTCTTTTCATTTTTGGCAAAATTTTGGTCCAAGACCATGTACTATAGTACAGGGACTTTGGCTCGATTTTGAGCAACTTGAAAAATTCGTAAAAAATCCAATTTTGATCAGAATCACCTGAAACTTTCTACGCAACATAAGTACATGTATATGTATCAGAAAAAATCATAAAAATGGGAAATTCTTTCCTAGCCATTTTTGCCAAAATTTGGCCCGTGACCATGTACTATAGTACAGGGACTTTGGCCTGATTTTTGAGCAACTTGAAAAATTTCGTAAAAAATCCAAATTTGATCGGAACCAGTTCAAACTTTCTATGCAACATAAGTACATGTATATGCATCAGAAAAAATTATAAGAATGAAGAATTTCCTCCTTTTCATTTTTGGCAAAATTTGGCCCCACACCCTGTACTATAGTATAGGGTTTTTGACCCAATTCTTGAGGAACTTTAAAATTTCGTAAAAAATCCAAATTTGATCAGAACCAGTTCAAACTTTCTACACAACATAAGTACATGTATATGCATCAAAAAAATTTATAAAAATGGAGAATTCTCTTGAAGCCATTTTTGACAAAATACCATGGGCTATAGTACAACGACTTTGACCAAATTTTTGAGCAACTTTAAAAATTCATTAAAAAATATTTTTGATTGGAATTGGCTCACAATTTTATGTAAAATACATGTAAGAACATGTATAATGCATCAAAAATGTAATGAAACAATTCTCTCCTACAGTAACTATACCTCCTCCAGTGGAAGAAACGGGAGAAGCATTGGTCAGACTATCCTTTTGAGAATGATCCCTCTCTAGTAATGTATCCACAATAATGAATGATGATGTGATTGGACTTGTAGCCAGCAGATGCGAATCATCACCAGGTTGCGTGTGTGACTGCATTAGTCTATGTACAAACACAAATAACACTAATTAATCATAATAGTCAATGCTTACCTGTTGTCCTGTACTAGCTCATATGCAACTGCTAAATGATGGCCCCTGTCTCCACTACGGAGGGCCTGCAAGACTTCTTCTCTCTTGACCGATAGCTTCTGACACACTTCAGACAACACAGCAGAGTCTATTTGATGATGCTCAGTGAGACCTAAAGGAAACACGAGTCGGGGAGCATGTCTCGTTTGCTCATGATAGATAATACCTGGTAGAGGGAATAGGTATTGGGGTAGCTCGGTAGTAAACCATGTATGCTCTTTGATCTGTGGCAGTGTTATACGCTTAACAGGATTAACCTTTTAATATAAAAATAAGACAATAATTATGAGGATCAGAACATAGTGGCCTAGTGCATCGCAGCATCACATATTGCTTATCTATAGTATCTTTTCATTACTTCTACCCTATGGCCTTTGATATTGAACAATATAGTTTTAATATTATACGAGTACTTATAAAATTATTTTGACTCATAGGTACTTGCAGCTGCAAATTCGTTAAGCAATACCTGTAGCATCTGTGTTAAAAGGTCACTGGCCCCTTTACTGATGTAGTGCGGTATATAAAACTGGCCAGACTTTATCTTACGAAACAGCATTGAGATATTTGTGTCTTCAAATGGAAGACTACCACAAAGCAAAGCATAAAGTATAATACCACAGCTCCACACATCAACCTCTGGGCCTATAAAATAAAATAAAATAAAAATATCAATAATAATAGTTATTTGATTTAAAATATTAATTAATTTTAATTAATCTGACCAGCATAAAGTTTTCCCGAGACTACTTCAGGAGCAGCATAATTAGGACTCCCACAGCTAGTCCTCAGAAATTCTCCATCTTTCATCAAGTTTGACAATCCAAAGTCGGCTATCTTTACCTAATGAGGAGGAGCAGACGAAGAAAGTGAAAGGGATCATGTTGCTGATTCAGCATATACTTTGTTGTTAGAATCCAATAGAAGATTCTCTGGCTTTAAGTCACGATGGACAACTTTGTGTCTAGCAAATACAGTATTAGATAATAATGATAATAATAATAATAATGATAATGATAAGTAAATGAGTACACAGGGTAATACAATAGCAATGCGATACAGATGGTATCTCATCATCAACTGTAAAATTGGGAGTGAACTTAGAGCTGATTTTTTGTACAAAATCATGGACACTTAGTGATAAGTTTGATAGTATGTACCTGTGACAGTAATCCACACCAGATATTATCTGCTGGAAGAATGCCCTGGATTCATTTTCACTGCTCTTACCATGTTTAACTAAAAATAAACATCAGTGTGAGCATACAATGTACACTGCATAAAAACCCAGAAAAAATTAAAAAAGATATTTACCAATATATTCAAATAATTCTCCTCCTGAAACATATTCCATTACCATGAATATATCTTTTGGTGTAGTTATAACCTCGTACAACTTTATTATGTGCGGATGACGAAACAATTTCAATATTTGGATCTCTCTCCTACGGATAGAGAGGGGTAGCAATAATGAAGATGAATCGCTGATGACTCACGTGATCTTATCAGCAACGTCCAAGTGTTGTATCTTATTCCTGTTGAGTATCTTCACTGCTACTTTGTGTCCTGTGAGATCATGATCAGCTATCTTCACTTTACCAAACGTTCCTGTACCCAGTGTCTCACCCAATATGTACCTAAAGGAGGGAAAGGGCAGCTTTGCGTCTTAGAACTGTCCTGCTAGTCTTCATTACCTTCCAATTTTGAGTTTCTGTGGTGTCTTTCCCTCCATGATCGAGTCCATGATTGACCTATTGACCCGGTAAACTGGTAAAGTAATATAAAAAAAGAGTGTGGGTAAACCACGCCCATACGTTTAATTAGAGACAAAACAGCGTGGTATTAATAATGGAGGATGGAGGATCTGGGAAAGTTGTTGTACTGGTAGACATGGACTGCTTTTACGTTCAAGTCGAGAAGAGGCTTCATCCTGAGCTGAAGGATAAGCCCTGTGCCATAGTTCAGTACAATAAATGGCAGGGAGGCAGGTAATAGATCTATATTAGATTATTTTGCTAAAATAAATAATTTTAATAGCATTATAGCTGTTGATTATGAAGCAAGGAAGTATGGTGTGAAGAGATCATTGAAGGGAAAGGAGGCTAAAGAGAAGTGTCCTGGTATTCATCTTGTCCAAGTTCCCGAGAAACGAAGAAAGGCTGACCTCTCCAATTATAGGAAAGCTAGCGGAGAAGTTATGAAAGTTTTATCAGGATTCACATCAGTGATAGAAAGAGCTAGTATTGATGAGGCGTTTCTAGATCTCACAGAGCCAGTCAAAGACTACATCAATAGTAACTCTTTTGATTCACTGGAGTTTCATGCTGATCTAAAATCAACTCATGTTGCTGGATGCAATGATGATGATGACACTCATAAAGGTAACACAGCAATTTGTTTTCTCTATATGCAGTTCTATAATCAGATGATTGTGATTTGAGGATTAGCAGGGGAGACTGGTTTAAGTCTTCTTGCAGTTCAGACGAGAGGGTATTGATTGTTGCTGCTATACTAGTTCAGAGGATAAGAGAGACAATACTTAATGAGGTCGGATTCACTTGCTCTGCTGGTATCTCTCACAACAAAGTAAGAGCTTATAGCTACTCATTCATAGTAATGTGATATACTTATTAAAGATGCTGGCCAAGTTAGCTGCTGGAATGCATAAACCAAACCAGCAGACCATACTACCTCAATCTCAAGTTGATGTTGTATTCTCTACTACATTACTGAAGAAAGTGTAAGTGAAAGTAATTTAATTATTTTCATGCTATTTCTTTTAGTCGACATTTAGGTGGTAAGCTAGGAGAACAGGTACAAGACAAGCTAAAGATAGAGTGTGTGGGACAATTGCAAGAATATTCACTTAAAGTACTTCAAGAAAAATTTGGACTTAAAACAGGGCAAGAAAAAAGAGCGAAACAATCAACTGATTAATTTTATTTTTAGATCTTGGTTGTATGAGTTGTGTCGGGGTATATGCCACGAGAAGATAAGCAATCGAATAATCACTAAATCGATCGGATGCGGCAAAAACTTTCCTGGACCTTCAAAGCTCAAGACAGCCAAAGCTGTACGTATGCTTTAATTTATGTATAGTTCATTGCTTTTATTAGGTGAAATATTGGCTGGAGCAGTTAAGTAGAGAACTAGTAGAGAGACTTGAGGAAGACATGACTGAAGTATAGCATTATGTGCCTTGTTTTCACTTCCTTTTCTTACTTCAGAATACAAGACAGGCTCAATCCATCACTGTTCACTTCTTACCTGAAGGTCAGGCTTCGTCTGTTGCAAGAACATTTGCACTGCCTTCATATAATACAAGCCTAATTGTCAATAACTCTTGGAATGCCATTAATAAGGGACACAAACCTGTTACTAATGAGGAGAGTCATTTGACATGGTCAGAAAGTCTTTGCAATTTATTAAGATAGTCATTGTTCTACTATAAATAGGACTACGGGTATACTGAACATTCATCTCTCTGCTGGCAAGTTTGTTCAGTGTGGTAAAGGGCATATGAAGTCACTTCTACAGTTAATGTCATCAGATCAAGAATGCAGCTTTGTTTCAGCATCATCAAGTCACTCCAGTATAATCACTGGTAAAGAAGTCACTCAAATGACACTGTGTAAAGAAGAAAGGGAAGATGCAGTCCTCACAACTACTCCTACAATCACTGAGCAAGATCAATCATTAGAAACGTCTTCAATGAACATAACAAAGTTCTTTACTCCTATTAAGAGGAAGGGATCACTAGAAACACAGCTGGATAGAAATGCCAAAAGGAGAGAAGTAGTCCTTGAGGAGATAAAAGGGACGCTAGAGAGTGATGATGACACGATTATAGATAATCAATTTGAGGCTGTTTTGTGTTCTGAGTGTGGAGAAGAGGTTCTCAAATTCGTATTAGAAGAACACATGGATTATCACTTTGCACTCTCATTGGACAAAGATTCACAAATAAATTAAATAAATAAATTAATATAAATATAAAAATAGTTGTTTATTCTAGATTAATCTTTTTATGACGCATAAGATACGTTATCAAGCTATCGTGTATATCCATTCTTTCAATGGCCTTCAGTGCATTGATAATAGTCTTCCATGTGTAAGGGGAACATCTTTTCATTTTCCACTTTTCAAACAATAGTGCATAGCGTTCTCCTATGCTTTTATGTTCTGCCTGTATTATTGCAATTTCAGTTGAAGCTATATTCAAATGTATGCCAAACTGATCAAAATGATCATTTCCCAGCTGCAATCATAAAAGGAATAATAATTATTTTTAATGCCAAAACACTTGAACTTACTTTAAGGCCAACAAAAGCCATACAGTCACGTAGATCAGGTTCTGTGAAATTATCTATAATAAATAAATTAATTAAAACAAGTACATCAGTCACTCTCTCTCTCTCTCCCCCTACCTAAACTAAATAGCCAAGGGAGTCTCCTAACACTACCACAAGTCTTTGATAAAGCAGGATGCTTAGTACAACTGAGACTAAAGGAAGAATGAGTAATAGTGTCCATATCAACTCTAGCCGGATGAGTCTCACTGCAGACTGGTTCATCATCTTTATGTAAGTCACACATGAAGCCCCACTCAAAACGAATATCATCGACTGAATAAGGAAGAACATCAGATAGAGCTGATAGACAAGAGTTGCTAGTCAGTGTTCTTCTTATATTGAAGGCTTCTTCATCATTGCTTCCCGAATAGTATAGTTCTAACCACCGAAACCTGTCTACGATTAAAATGCAACCGCTTTTATAAACAAGACTGACGGCATTCCTGTACTGCTGGCGATCCATAGCCTCTGGCTTGGGCAAAGTAAATTTTGAGTCTTCTCGAAGCAGATAAGTTATGAGAGCTGTAAAGACACCTTGCAGCACTACACCTTTCACTGGCAATAGGAGGAGACAATCAAAATGGGTAGTATATGTACTCACGTCGATGTTGTTGCTACAGATTGGTAAAGCACTAGGAATGAAGTACCCATGAGTAGTATCTGCAATCACCAACAAGTCCACTAAAAGCCGGAGGAGGTCAGAAGGTCCGAATTCAGGTATAAAATGAGTCAATTGTTCCTTCAAGCATATTTTAAAGACATCCTCTGAAAAGAGACCGCTCTCTGTCAGTTTCCTTATAGAATCTGGAGGCAAGACTAGATCGTCAGTTTTAGAGAATGTGATTTTTAGAAGAGAGGTGAGCATTCCTAGGGCTAGCTGAGGATCAGTGATGACAATACTGAACTTCTCATTTGAGTGATACAAGACTGTGTTTACAGAATCAAAGAATGTCAATATATCCTCAACCTCTTCAGGACCAAGGCCCAATTGCTTGCCAAGCTCTACACAATGACTGAGTACAATTATTGATGTCTTATTATCTGACGAGTATTTATTGAGCAAACGCTCATACTGATACCAAGCCAACGGGATGTCGACACGCTGCAATTGAGAGCTTATCCTAATAAGCCTCTTGCGAATCTCAGCACCCATTTTATCTTTGTCTTTGAGTATATCAATGGGAAACAATATCTCGTCTTTTTTCTCATTATAGTCAATTCGGCGATCATTTAAACTGCTTAGCTTCTCTTTTAATTTCTGATTGATTTTCTTTATCTCTTTCTTTTTGTCCTTCAATTTGTCGATGTGTGTGCCAACTACCAGAAGGACAGGTAAGCTGCTTGAATCCTTTTCTGGTACACTCGTTGATAAAGATGAGACAACTCGCGCCGTGTTCTCTAACATCTCACAGCAGGACTGCGGCATCGTTGTATATAACTCATGACTCTTGTCTTCTCCTTCCTCAAAATAACTGAAGCTAAGCTGCTCGTCCAAGTCTTTGGTGACATCAAACACAAAAATAACGACCATGCAAGACCGTATGAAAATAGGCAAGAGATCTAGAAATTGTGGCTGACCCCCACTGTCGAGAAAGTATAAAAAATCCTTGCTCTGATCCTCATTAGAAGCAGAATCCAGTGACATGACATTAATCACTTGCTTTTCTGACTTAGAAGACGTAGTAGTAATGGGAACAGAGCTGGTCACTGGGTCAGCAGGTTTCTCATCCAAAGAAAGGGACTTAGAGAGCATGGCAGGTGAGGAAGAGCTTCGAATCGGGCGGGACGTTTTTCTTGGTATCGGAGGGTTGACAACAGCAGAGCAGCTGCTTTGTACAGAACTTGTTGGTGAATTTATTAGTTCTTTTGCTTTGCGAGCAACTAGTTTTGTCATTTCGTCTTTGTCAAAACTAGACAAAAGTCCTTTTTGCTTCATGACACTTATTCTTTCGACAGGACTCACAATGGGTGTACTGTTACGCTTTACTGGGAGGGGCTTCTCTAAAAGGAGGTGCTTGAGACATGTTTTACCCACACCTGGTGGACCAACACAAACAACATTAATGATTGTACAGTTCATGACTCCAGAGGCCATGGCTTCCTTAAATTTATCATGATTTATGCCTGAAAGGATAGTAATTAGATTGCTTATATTATAATAAGTGCATGTTATACCTCTCTTTGACTTTTTGAGTAGGTTAAATTCAACTAGACCACCTCCGCTAGGAACATCAACCCAAACATAACCATTAGCAACTACCTCCTTACTACATGTATACACTAACAAAAGCAGATAATGATGTTTCTATTCATACATGCATTCTCACATGATACTGGAGTTCCAATTTCTAGTTTAACATTGCTTGGCTTTAAGGAGATAGTTTTTAAGCAGAAATAATCGAGTGGTTTATAGTCTAAAAGGAATAAAAAACAGAGTTAAATCAGAGGTCATAAATTAGACTTGAAACATACCTTTCAGTGACAGGAGAACTGTGTTAAAGCACCCATCAAAAGATACTACGCCCCAAAAAGGTTTAACAAGTGGTGCAGGAACTATCTCTCTTAGCAAACCATCAATAAAAATGTACACCATGTTTAGAAGGAGCATGAAACCAAGCGTTTGGCTTTGCGAAAGGTTTTTGAAATTTGTACGTTTCGTAGGATCCTTGTAATAAGAGCAATCTCTGACAAATGGTAGCTCATCTATATTAGTAGTAGGTTGTGGCTCACAGTCAGAGAGGCCAATTTTCTGAGTATTATGTGATAATTTAAAATGATAATAAAACAGTAGTCTATGCATATTCTCACCATAAATGTGCTAGCTAAACGGTCAACGTATGGAACTAATTTTTGTTCTATTTTAATAAGAACAACCTTTCCTTCAACCAGCGGTTCATGAGTACAAACTACAGCATCTGACTCCTTCTTCTTCACCGCAAATAAAGACCCTCGGTTTTCTAAGGACACTTCACAGTCTTTTACAAGACGAAAAGTGGGGAGGTGGCCTTCTGCCATATCAGAAAAAGAAAGCAAAGCACCACCCCTTGAAATTTTCATAAAATTTAATTCTTAAAAATAATATTCTTACAATAAAAATGGTATAATGATTAAAGAGCAACACCATGCTTCTTAGCTACAATTTGAACTTTCTTTTTAAAGTTATTGCTCACAATGTAAGTATTGGGAACATAAAATGGATTGAGAATAGCCTAGAGAGAAAGACGAAAGCATATACGTTTAGAGTGATGAGTATATAATAGATAATGCAAAAATATCACTAATTCTATACTAACTTTAATAAAAAGTTCGTAAACATCATTAAAGAATGCTCTAATGGACTCCTGGCCTCTAACAGAGCTATCGTGAACTAACAGAAATCTCATCTCTATCAATAAGATGTCAAGTCAAAAACTGGCTATCATACGTACCATTAGTACCATATAGTAGTTATATTATGTGCATGTATAAGGATTAAAGACTTTAAGGTAGTCTAGGATTAAGGATACGACTTGCAGTTACAAAAGCAGTCACGATGAGCTCGTTAAATCTATCCACTGTCTTCAAGTATCTATTAGCAACACCAAACAAACAAACAGACTGTAATTCTTAATATGTCCGAACTCACAATGCTCCACTCTGCCATTTGGCCTCATCCACCAGGTCAAGAGATGCATGAGCTACAAACTGATTCAAATGACGCCTGCTTTCATTCTAAAAATATATAAAAACCCCATACCAATTATTCAAACTCACTGCTCCTCCACTGTCCTGTGTTCTAGACAGATCCAGTTCAAAGATAGGATTATCCTGATGACCAACAATCACAAAATAAGAAGTCATTTTGTTTAGTCCCCGCCTATTGGGCGTGGTATTTAACAAGACGCTGATTGGTTGATGAAATGTTACGTAATCCAAGACCGGAAGTGGGCTTTTTCCTGTAAGGAATTTGATTGGTCAGTGTGCATACAACCTCTCATTTGGGCGGGACACGGGGACAAAACTTGAAACTTTGTTAGTGAAAAAAGAACTGAAGTGTGTGTTTGTGCCGTGTCTTAAAGTTTAACTATTATAAAGCTCAAGCAAAATGGTAAGCAATGTCTGTAGCCTTTTATCCATGCATTATTGTGTGTCTGAGAGGGGGAGCCTTATTAAAAGCTTATTCCTATGCCCCGTAGCCCGGTGGGAAGGCTGGTAAAGATGCTAAAGTAAAAGCTAAAGCCGTGTCGAGATCAGCTCGTGCTGGACTACAGGTATTACTAATGATTCCATTAATACATGCACTAGCTGTTTTACCATTAGTTTCCTGTGGGTCGTATCCATCGACACTTGAAACAAAGGACGACAAGTCATGGGCGAGTTGGTGCTACAGCTGCTGTCTACAGTGCAGCCATTTTGGAATATCTGACGGCAGAGGTAGCACTAAAGTGTATCATTGTTTATGTTAACGTATCTGTATATATCAGGTACTGGAGTTGGCCGGGAACTGCAGCAAAGACTTAAAAGTAAAGCGTATTACACCACGTCACTTGCAGCTTGCCATTAGAGGAGACGAAGAATTAGACTCTCTCATTAAGGCCACCATTGCTGGAGGAGGTAACAAAGAATGTATTTTGCTTTTCAAATTCAGACTGTCCCCACAGGTGTACTACCACACATTCATAAGAGTCTTTTGACCAAAAAGACAAAGCCACAATAAACTTCATATGGACCATATGCACACACACACACACACATCATCTTTTGCTTTTTTAAAAGAACTCTAACTTGGTTTGTGTATTTATCCCTCCACACCATTTGTCTGCACCCTAAAACTGGGCGGGCTGTTGCTGGAAAGGGTGGGCGGGCTGTGGTTTCAAGGAATCCAATAGTTGAATGATTAGAACAACCACAAGAATTTCCTTAGGGCATCCTTAAGAGTGTCACCTGTGAAGACTCAAAGTATCAAATTAGCAATTTAGCATCTGAGGAAGTTAATTAATTATTAGTACATAATATTCTTTAATAATAATAATAATGACAAAACAGAGTCAATTTAAATTTAAAGGCCCTCCACATCGTACACGCGGATCAAATTGTCCGTATAGCCAGCAAAAAGTGTCTGACCATCAGCACTCCAAGCCAAACATGTACACTGAGTGTTTCCTGAAGTATTCCCAATAAACTCTGGATGAATCTCGTCAACTAGTGACTTGCTCTCCAGATCCTGTATAATAAAGGAATGGTTTAGATGTTATCAGGGAGTGTCAACGAATTAACAATGGAGTACAATGTAAGGCATAAATTAGCAAAAGGACAAAATTTTAATTTTAATTTTTGGCTAATAAGAAACCCACAAAAATGTCATAATTAAATATTCGTTCGGATATGTCTTACCCAAATCTTGACATTAGGGCCAGTAGCTGCACAAAGCCAATACCTGTTGGGGCTGAAAGCCAATGCATTGATGGGATCTGATGCAAGAAGTGTGTACAAGTGCTTTCCTTCATTAAGATCCCAGAGCATTGCCTTACCATCCTATCACAAAAGAAAGAAGCAATACATTAAGAATGCCACGTCATCTACAAAAAACTACACTATGCAATTTCCGAATACAAATTTCTAGGAACAAACATGTTTGCAAACAAGCAACTGCAATTAGCAGCAACACTACCTTGCCACCAGAAGCACACAAACTTCCATCAGGAGATACAGTGGTGCAGTTCAAATACCCTGAGTGTCCAAAATGATTAGTCTTGAGCTTGCAATTAGTCAAGTTCCAAACCTAATAATTCTAGTACTTAGAAGAAGTTCAACTTTTTCTACAACTTACCTTGACTACATTGTCCCAACCACATGAAACAATAGCTGGATTTTGTGCATTGGGTGAAAAGCGAACACAGCTTACCCAATCAGTATGACATTCATCCTGTCATTAGTAACAATGATAAAGTTTTAATCCCAATATGCACACACATAGTTATTACATACCTGAATGGTATACTTGCAGATGCCCAGTGTGTTCCATAGTTTGATGGTTCTGTCACGTGACCCAGAAACTATCTGTCTGTTATCTGTTGAGAAAGCAACGCTGAGGACATCTTTAGAATGTCCAACAAATCTACGAGTCGTAGCACCTGTAATATAATAAGCATGACATTATATATATAATTGGCAGTTGACACTGTATACACAATAATTATTATCATTATTATCATTCATAAATAAATCGATTATTATGCCAATCAATAAAACTTCATAACACAGAGGTTTCTATTATTAAATATACCTGTTTCCAGTTCCCACAGACGAAGTGTACCATCCCAACTACCCGATAATGCAAACTGCCCATCAGATGATATCACAACATCGGAAACAAAATGATTGTGGCCCCTCAGTGCCTTCTTGGCCACTCCATAGTTAGTATCATCACGTTTCAGACGCCACACAATGACAGTCTTGTCTGAAACACACCCAATAATAAATATGTTACAAAATACATGTATTTGTCATTACCTCTAGAAGCACTGAGAATGGTGTCTGGATCAGCTGCTGTAGTGGCTATCTGTGTCACCCAACCGCCGTGACCCTTTAGTGTGCCCCTCAGCTTCAACTGTTCCGTCATTTGGAGGATGGAAAGGGATTATATATGTCTCAATTTATTTAGTACCTATATCAAAAGAAAGAAAGGGAACACGTGGTGCGAGATTATGAGCATGCTCAAATTATGTCGCCATTTTATTTGAGCCACACCTATAAAGGGCTGGGCTTATTAAAGATGAAGCTAGAAACTAAGTCCGATCATTTCTGTACTTTATTCCTGTGCACTGGGTTGACTAGTGCTGCTGAGCTACGTAGGACAGTGTTATCTGGGAAACTTCCATGTTGCCTGCTTGATGCAGGAATGGTAAGAAAGCTACAGATCTGTGGTGTTAATTTGTTATGCATAATTATTTTTTAAATCAAGATTTGCAGCAGTTTTCAAGTGATGGTTGCTGTGAATAAAGCAGTCATCAGTTTAGAAAGGAAGAAACTAGTCACAAAAAGTCTGCAAACTGAAATAATTTATTCCTTGTCTCCATCAACAAATGTGAGGTCTTCATCATAAGTCTTTAGATCCTTGTGCTGCCCTGTAGATATCAGAATCTTTGAGGTTGTTTGGTGCAAAAGACGATTCCAACAGTGTAGTAGCTGTATTTACATCGGACTCAAGTGATTCATTCCTTGAACAGGTTTTTATAATGATGCAAATGCATGTACCCAGTGTCAGTGATGTCTCTTCACATTCTATTGTACATTTAGGAAGAATCTCTTAAAAGCCTTGTAAAAGGTTTAGGTGGAGAAGTATTGCAAGATAATGATTTCAGTAAAACTCTTGATCTCAAAAGCTTGAAGAAGGTACATGTATATTATAATTTACATAATGCAAGTGAAAACAGTGAGCTCAAGATGTGTACATTGTATCTCGACAATAATAGTAACTCCTTTTATTGTTGCCAGGTTTATCAGATCACAGACAAAGAGCTTCAAGTCACAACGTTAGAAAAAGCAGTAACAACAGCAATGTCTATGAAACACCTAGTCTGAACGAGGATTGATAATACGAGAATTATAGTTATACTCATTCAATCATAATAAAATAAAATAATAATAATAATGATTACAATTAATAAATGATAGCCATACAACATGCACAATAAACAAACATGTAAACATAATAATAATTATAAACAAGAATCAAATTAATATTTATTAATAATACATAAATCTCGGCAGAGTTATCCATAATCTTTGAAAGGGTAGAGAGAAAGAGGGGCAGTATGTATCACTTTGATGAAGTTTTTTGGTGTATCTTGACAATGCCAAATATCAATAGGCCTATGATGACCAATATTACCAGTATCACTACAGCAAGAATTATCTTATGCTGTACAATACGTCTCCCTATTCTACGAATAACACGACCTCCTTTACTGATCTCTGAGTCTGTGTCACGAAGCTACAAAACAAAATAATAGTAAGACTCTGCTTGCATAGTCTAATTCGGCAAATCAATATCAAAGTTGGATTTTTTGTGAATTTTTAAAGTTGCTCAAAATAGCCCATGGTACATGTATGTGGTACATGCATTCTATCAAAAATGGCTCAAAGAGAATTCTCCATTTAAAAATTTTTTCCTGATACATATACATGTTCTCATGTTGTGTAGAAAGTTTGAACTGATTCCGATCCCATTTGGACTTTTTATGAATTTTTGAAGTTACTCAAAAATCTGATCAAAGCCCCTGTACTATAGTACATGGTCTCGGGCCAAATTTCACCAAAATTGAAAAGGAGATATTTCCCCAGTTTTGCAATTTTTTCTAAAGCATATACATGTTCTAATGTTGGATAGAAAGTTTGAACTGATTCTGATCACATTTGGATTTTTTATGAATTTTTGAAGTTACTCAAAAATCAAGTCAAAGTCCCTGTACATCACTTTTCAATCATTACATTATTCCTACTATGACTCACCCTCCCTCTGATCCTGTTTATAGTGTCCCTGTCACCCTGAAGGTTGTCAATGATGTCTAGTCCAATCGTTTCAGTTTCCTTTGCAATCCTGTAGCCATCTTCAAGTGTATCTGATGTTTTTGCTAGTCTCTCTGTATTATCAAGAAGCCTTGCCCTCTACAAGAGCAACAAAAGTGGACTCAAGTACATTGTATAACACATCAAACATGAGAGACAAAATTATGATTACAAGTTCACGTACATGATCCTCTGAAGTGTATAGCTCCTCTCTATCAAATAATTCTTTTCTCATGGACGTCTCATCACCAAGAGCAACTTGTGACTGACGCTGTCACGGGACAAAATTAATAAAAGTTTTAAAGTATAGCTCTTTAGCTTACAAATTCCTTCTTGAGTCTCTCTAGCTCATGTTTATAAGACGTTAGGCGTTTTTTAGCAGCTCCCCTGTTGTCTTGTGGTACGTCATGGATTTCTAGATCCATCTGGTCAAGCTGTATAAGTATACATGCAAGTGTACATTAGTCATTGGGTCAAATTCAATTACATGTACATGCATGGCCATAGACAGTACAGGTTGTGTACATTATCTTATATTTACCAATTCTCCAGCTTCGTCAATGTTACCCTGTACAACACCGATAGCGGTCTTCTTTTCGGCTAAATAAAACACAAATTTATCAAATTTTAAAACAAGTTAGCGCCATATAAAATACGTACTACATGTACCAATTGGTTTTTACTTTTAATATGAATTATAGCATACATATATTTTTATAGTTGTCATTCTGTGAGACTTACTCCCAATTAGATTTGGTATTTTCCCTATCCTGGCCGTTATGTCAGCCGTAATAGTAGAGAATTGTCCTTCGTAGCTTTCAAAGACACTAGACATTGTTGTGAACTGTGAAGTATTAGGACTAGATCTGTAAAGGAAAAGAACTCTTTTAATACATTAGACAAACCTTTATTAAAGAATGAGGGACCGTATATGAAAGAAAAAGTGACTTACTAGAGAAATAAAAGAAGAAGAAAGTGAGCTTGTTGTCCTCCCCAAAATAGTCAGCTTTTTTTGTAAACCACGCCTACAAAATGGTGAGTATTTATTTTTTAACCACCACGCCCATATCAACTAAAATGAAAATCCTTAAATCAAGCAGATTTTAAACAAAAATTGCATCATTAAACGAAATGTACAAAACAAACATTCGTTTAACAATAAATAATTATACTATATTATTATTATTATAGTATGCATGGTTGTGTGTATCAGTATTATTATTATTATTATATTAATTATTATTTTTATAACAAATGACTAATAATAGTAGCACATGTCTCTCTCTCTATACCAAAAAAGGAAAAAGGTTAAAAAGTAATTAAACAACAGAAATAATTTCTTTTCGTGTTGGTCGTAACTATTACAATAACTAATATCTTTTAATGCGTGGAGGCAGGATCACTTTGACTTCCCTTCATGCTGTGAGCCATCAAACATGAACTTTGGATCGCCGGTATTGACAGCCATTGGAGACTCTGCGACTTCACTGGACATACTCACTACAGAGTCACGTCTCGGGGGCATGCGTTCATTCACACGATCAAGAGCTCTAGCCTCATCAAAACTGTTGACGCGTTTTCTCATGCCACCAGCATGTAGGACTTGAAACTCTTCGAGAGCTAGTATTGTAGATTGGAGATCATTATTTTTAATACATACATGTAATGGGTAGGTAGTATTATTATTAACCTGATTGTACTCCTTCGCTGCCCTGTGAGAGGACACCAGCTGGTAATTGACCTGATGGAGTGAGACCTTTGAGAGCTAACACAGTTTCATGCTCTTGCCTAAACACACAAACAAGGAAAATATGATCATTACAAATAATACCAAGCAACAAGTCGACAACAAAGCAATAAAACAAATAGCAATGGTTATGACTTGTTTACCTGAGAACTGAGAATACTCTTGCCATCTTGCCAACAGCTCTTATCTTGTTCTTAATGACTTCCTTCCTTAGGGCCATACTTGATGATTCTGGTAATACAAAAAAATATAATCACACAAATAAAAATAATAAAAAAATTATAATAACAGTAATAAGGGTTGATTTGATGGCATTAAATTGGATCCAGTGTTGGGTGACACAAATGCTAAATTGTGATACACGTACATACATGTATATCACAATCATATATAGTCTAGCAATAAGTAAAATCCTTCTTTATAACGGATTTGCTGACCTGGAATAGGACCACTCTCTTCTTCCTCAAGGTCCATGTCATCATCTTCTTCGCCGCCTCTCAGATTAAGAACATTGACAAGCATTTCAGTAACTATAAGAATAATAGGAATATAATAACAAATGAAAGAGACATTGACAAGCATTTCAGTAACTATAAGAATAATAGGAATATAATAACAAATGAAAGAGAGAGAGAATGAGCATAGTGGATATAAGTGAATAGAAGCATACCCTTCTCTCCAACAAAAGGGAGTGACCAGGTAAACACGTCCATAAAGTTAGGTAGCCAGTAGGGATGGTCAACAGCATTAAACTGTCTAATATTCATAACGTTATTCTCATATTTCAAAACGGCGGCCTTGTTCCCATAGACGTCCAAATAATTAGGAGCAGAGAATATCGTGATGAGAGCAGGGAAGCCCGTGGTCTGACTTTTACGATACATTTTATATCTAAAAGTATGCAAGACACAGTAAATACATGTACATGTACTATACACAATATAAATTATTATTATGAGATATTCAAATGATGTCATGTACAATGTATGTACATGTACATGTACATTGTAGTGGATTTTTGTAGTGTATTTTTGATTTTGTTACATGCATGTACAGTAGTTCTGGTTGTAAGGGGAAATCATAACAGAACAAACACTAGAAAGCAGGAGATGAGTAGAGTAGGGAGTATTTTGAGCTGATAATCATTTCCAAATTATTTCTAATAAGCACAATTACTGCCTATAGATTCTTATCTCCAAAAAAGCATAAAATCAATCAAATCCCAACGCATGTAAATTAACGCTGATCTCTTACCCTGAGTCTTGTGCCTCGTGAGCTCTTATGATGGAGAGAAGGTGATTGTTGTGAAGGAACTCACAGCAAGCCGTGTAGCTATTGAGAATAAGAATAAACACATCAAAAGCAATGTACACACACACACACACACCATGGAGTACATGTATAGTGTATACATTACATGTCAATATCATCATTTTAGAAACAGTATCACAACATTGCATGGTAGCAATAATAATAACGCCTCGTTTCCTACATATATCATAAGCATTTTGTTTTATTATTAATACACGTGATGATAATAATTAAGATAATTTATAAAAACATGCAGTCGGCCAACAAAGATAGGAATTACCTGAAATAGTATGAGCAGCCTCTGACTGAGTTGTGACTGAATCCCTCTTGGGTTGGCTTTTCTTGGCCAAAGTCTTCCAGTGGGTCGGACCAGAGTAGATCACACATTGGGCCAAATGCAGGAGGCTCCTTGAACCGATCCAACTACAAACAAACAAAAATATAATGAGATAATTGTACATGAATCAATTTTATTAGAGGAGGATTAGTGAGTAGTCACACTACAACACATTTTGGTTACATAGGCCAATGATAAAAAAAACCTCTACAAAGCCCACCATTAAAAGGTATAATACTATACTCTACACGACTAAGTGGATTTAATATGAGGAATGCATGTATTTTACATTCTTAATGTCATCCAATGTGAATATTTCAGGAGAGAGTCCACCATGAACACAGAGGAACTGCCCATTCATCAGAGCTGCTAGTGGCAGACAATCAAATGAGTTCATGCATGCTTCATATACAGCCTCTGAATACTTTATTTTACCTACAAATAATAAATATAAATAATAATAATAATAATAATAAATAATAATAATAATAAATAATGTAGTAGATATACATAAAATATTAGCTTGGGTAATATGATATGAAAGTACAGGGTTGATGCCAAATAATGTACATCAAGCACTTGTGAGGATTGACATACTAGAGAATACAAACACACATCCACCACGTAACTTAATAAAAGAGAGAAGACATGTACATGTACATGTACAGCACATTGCACAGAAAGAGAGAGAGAGGGAGAGAGAGAGAGAGAGAGAGAGAGGGAGAGAGAGAGAGAGAGGGAGAGAGAGAGAGAGAGAGGGAGAGAGAGGGAGAGGGAGAGAGAGGGGGAGGGAGGAGAGAGAGAGGGGGGAAGGAGGTGTTATGGAGCAGTGAGGTGTGAAAGGATGGTAGTAATTGTGAGCCAGCTCACATTCTAATTTAAAAGTGAAATATTCCGTGAGATGTCTGCACTCGTGATTCCCCCTCAACAAGAATACCATATTAGGAAAGTTTATCTTGAGTGACCAGAGATAGAGCACACACTACAGGAGAAAGAAAAGGTGAGATGACAGCTAATAAATACACATGTACATGTACCATGTACACCTATACATTATACATGTACAGAAGCAACTGGTTGCCAAAGAAAACCAATTTTAAACAAGACACCAAAATCTTGCCAGAATTGTTCATACGTGTACATACATGTATGTATGCATAAATTGAAATGATCATATGTACATGTACATGTACATACAATTTATCATAGACATTTTCCACAAGGGAAAGTTAATATCAGATGACAACCAAAACAACGAAAGACAATGACACTACTTTGGGAATTTGCCAAATTCCTCTACTACATGTACTATTATGTGCATGTGTAAGTATATGTAGTACATGTATGTATTCAGGAGTCCATTAGAGCAGCTAATAAGTAATGATCTAAGAATACTATTAGTAAAACTTTGAAGAATCTATATCTACATGTACAATTTTACATGTACATGTAGCAGTAATCAAGAATCATAACAGCTAGACTCTAGCTTTTCCTGATAGCTGGGCTCCATTGATTCACATAAAAGGACAACTGCCAGACTATTATTGGTCCCTCACATCCAATAAACTGTTAATATTACTTAACACAAAAGGAAGCTATCAATAGTAACTATTTTGCTAATACGTCACACGTCCTGCAATGTTTCACGAGGGCTCCCTAGCAACAACCAAAAACACGTCATACCTCAATTGAGAAGTAACCTCTATCCACGTAATCACCGAGGAACAGGTAGCGAGTTGTTTCTGGCGACCCACCGACATCAAATAGCTTCATGAGATCAAAGAACTGTCCATGAATGTCACCACAGACAGTAACTGGTGCATCTACAGCTATCATGTTCTCTTCTTTCTCCAATATATCAGTCCCTGGAGAGAAAGAGAGGAGAGAGAGAGAGAGGGGGGGGGGGAGAGAGAGAGAGAGAGAGAGAGAGAGAGAGAGAGAGATACATGTACATTGTTCTTTTAATACTGAAGCTACACAAAGTCATTTAGTGTTATTTGCTTGTGCATAATTCAGGAGGAAGTAAGTTTATACATTGAGCACAAACACCTGGTATAGGCAGTTGTGAGTACAGGGCAGTAGGCCAGTTACCGTGTGGTATAAACGACACTTTGAAACTAATCAAAAGTGTAGAATACGACGCTTTACTGGTGGCACACACAACGCTTCTGGTATTGATAAGGACACAGACCAGGGCCAGTCTCTAGTCTACTGTAATACAAACGTGTTGACGGGTTATGAAAGCACAGCTGGTTCAAGACTGATATACACACTTTCAAACAGGAGGGGAACATGGAACATGCTCTCTTGAAAAAGGCCACTCTGACTGTACACAAATGAGGACAACATGTCCACTAATTGTAAACAAAGTAATAAACTGAATATCAAGTAAAACAGGCTGTGGAATATTGCATATCAATAACACTCCAAGGACAGGTACACATCTCTTTGGCAAGTCTCAAAGCCAAGGAAGAGAAAACAGAAGACAAAAATAACATGTCAATAATTAGGAGCATTCTTACAAATATACACCAAATACCAAAGGCCACTACTAGAAAGAGACAAAAAGGCCATGATAAATTCCCATGGGCACTCTTTAGTAATTAGCCACAACTACAAGTATACTGGATCAGGTAGTCTACAAGCATAAACTAATATAATACTATATATATGTACAATTATATTATGTGGACAAGGATTACCTCCTTTTATAATTCTCAGTGCTACACTTTCCTCGAGACGTCCTTCATGACTAAAGTGGTCCTTGAGGACTTCGTGTTTTGGCTTTCCTGTTATTTCGTCGTAAACATCTGCCATTTTGAGAAGGGTTGCCTTCGGCGGGGAGACACCTGTAGAGCATAAAGGAAAGATAGACAAGTTGTTATATATTTATACAGCAAGTGGTATATTGTTGTAGCATGACAAGAAATGATGAATAGTAGAATAGAGAGGGGAAAAGGAGAGATCATACAGCATTACAATGAATGTGTATGTGTATATACTGCTGAGATAATACTGTGTAGTTGATTTAATTAGAGGAGAAGGAAAGGAAAGAAAGGAAATAGAAGAGGGAGTAATAATATAATATAAACTGCACACGGTAGGACGTGCTTCCACTCAAAGCTTATAATTATTATATATACATGTATAAAAATCTAATTTTAAAACTTGAGTATTTCATGCGATAAACAATATCCCAATGGTAGCTAAATGGTATATAAATCACACACACACAACAGCAACTGATTGAATCAGTGTAAAAACAACATCACCTCTGTCTCTCTAGTTTCATTCAACACAGGCATTACTAAAAATAAAAATGAAATGTACATCACTCTAAAGCAGTCAATGCGTCAGTATGCCAAACCAGTTCACAACTAGTTATACAATGAACCCTGTCTTGTTATTACGATGATGGCTGGTGCTTCCTTGGCAATGACAATAGCTGCCAAATTTATTAAAAATATACGCTAATGCATAAGGAGATAGATACTGTACATGTACAGTAAATGTAATGAGGAAGTATACATGCTGTCTACAGTAATAACATGTACAATTCCAATTATTAGCATGTAAATGCGGTTGTAATAGTACAAAGTGACATGCATGCTATATTAGGACAACTCCCACACACATAAAGGAGCATATCTTACAATAGACTTAATACTATTCAGTTGCACTGTATTGGGCCATAAGCCAATCCATTCATTAAAAATTAGCTTCCTTCCTAGAACCAAAAACCACAACATGGCAAAGAAACATTCCATTTTTTTATAAAGAGGATATGCCTCCTTTAAATAGCTATATGTACATGTACACAAGCTGTAGATCTTATATGTGAGAAGGTCAGTATTGATTTCTCATGGCAAACAATGAGCTCTTAGTTCTAACTAAACATGAATCCCGTTTCATAGATTGTTTCATGCCTTTAATGTACAGAGATGAATAATGCATAACCATGAAATAAAAATGGGAAAGAGAGAGAAAGAGAGACTCACTTGAGACAATGCGTCCCGTGGTAGTGAGCTCCGGCTCGGAATCACTCGCAGAGTCTTTGTCTGACATGTCTTCTGTGAGTTTGGAGTAACGTTTAACAAAACCTGCCCTAACATTGGAGAAGAAACTCATGATCAGCAATCGTACAAAGTGTATTGTAAAACGGGCCAGAGAGCTTTATGCCAAAAATAAAAGGCTTTCACTTACTAAAGGGATTCTCCTATCTTCGACTAGAATGCTAGGACCAGATCAAATAGCGCTACTTTAGCAAATGAGACACTATAAGCAGGACACCATCTTGAGCGGTCCTTTTAGGATTAAGTCACGATGACGTCATTTGTAGTCATAGCAACTCCAGGAGAAAACAAGATGGCGTCAAGAAAGGCAAAGAAGGAGAAGCTTGTAAATAAAACCCCAGAAGTAACGCAGGTCGATGATCAACTCAAGGAAAAGGAAATAATCCCTGGAAAAGGGTTTTATGAGAGCCATTGGTGGGTTTAATAGTTTAGCATTGATTGTGTATTGAGTTGAGTGCAGGTTGAAATTAATGGAGAAAGAGAGCAGTGACTCATATATACAGAGTTTAACTGATGAGATATTTGAGACAGCATTTGCCAAAGGGAACCACACACTCTGTGATGCTCAGGCATTCCCTCACTCTGTCCAGTGGGCGAAATCAAAAATGATAGAAGTAATTGAGGTAAGCGAAGAAGTGAAGTATAATATAATTATTCCTCAATTTCCTCTCTCTCTGTTGCAGTGTTACTTCTTATCACATGATACCGGGCAATCCAAGATAGAAGAAGATGTGTGGACAGAAGACCCTGATCCTCCTGTCACTGCAGTCATTGATTCCTGGGCCAGAGGAATGATGCCATTACAACCACCTCCAGTTGACATCAGTCCAAAAAAATCCTCATTTGTAACCCTGGTACCAATACCTGAAGAAGAAGCAGCAAACAATGAAATGCCTCCTGCTTTGGAGTCAGCACTGAGTCATCATAGTGAATCTATGAAAAGGTATAATGTAGCTAAATCTTACTTACTGATAGTTTTATCTCATGCTGCAGGGAAGGGAGTGGAGGCAGTAGTAGAATGACTGAACTGAATCTATCTGAGAAGATAAATGCTAGACCAAGACCTGTTAATAGAAGACAAAAGCCACCAGTGATGACAATTGTAGAGAAACCATCACCAGAAACTCAAATAGATGAAACACTACAGAGTCAGGTACTGATTCTGCATTCTTTAATAATGAGGGTTACCCACAAAGCATGCTCATTGAGCTAACAGCATGCTTCATGAGCTGACAAGCACTACAGGTGTATGTACATGTAGTACATGGGTTTTTGCCTTTTTGGGCAGCTTTAAAAATTTGTAAAAAATCAAAATTTGATTAAAATCAGCTCAAACTTAAAACATAACATAACAACATGCATATGTATCAGAAAAAGTTATAAAAATGGAGAATTTTCTCCTTTTCATTTTTGGCAAAATTTGGCAAAACACCCTTTACTATAGTACAGGGACTTTGGCCCGATTTTGGAGCAACTTTAAAAATTTGTAAAAAATAAAAATTTGATCGGAATCAACTCAAACTTTTTACACAGCATAAGAGCATGTATATGTATCAAAAAAGTTATTTCTCTTTTTCATTTTTGATAAAATACTGTACTTTAAAAAACAAAGGAAATTCCCACAATCATTTTATTCAATAATACTTGTATTGAAATCCTTTTCTTTATACTTGCAGTCTCAGTCCAGCACATTTCAATCGCACACTCCACCAACTCCAACGTCTCACATGGTAGTACCTTCGGCCATTACAGCCACTTCTCCTCTACCCCCTCCTTCTTCTCCTCGTCAAACCATCAGGTGTGCAAGAGGACTCAAAACCCAGAGCTTTCCTTCACAATGGTAAGTGCATTATAAAGCAAGTAGGGCTAGAACATTATTAATGCATTTTCAATCTATTTGGCTGGTTTATTCTGTGTCATGAACTAATATGAAGTAGCTCTAATTCTTTTAGTATCAAGCCTCAAGTTAAAGTATCACAGACAGCAAAAACGTTAAAACTTCATGAACAAGATCGAAAGCAGCCAAAAACAACTAAAAAGGACAGTACTCCACAGCATCACTATAGCCACCATCATCACAAACGACACATGGCAAAATGGACTACTAGACCTGATGTCAGCGTTGCTAGTGGCACAGGACAGCATCAAGGAAAAGGAGGACTCCAAAGATTAAACAGCAGCAGATATCCAAAAAGACCAGTATTACCATTCCTGGTAAAGAATTGCATTAACAAGAAAGTGTTGATGTTAATTTTATGCTTTAGGTTGATTTGATAGATCCTGTCCCTGGAGTGAGTGTGAAAGCAGACGGTCGGTTTTTAACGTCTTCCACACTCGTAAGGGCAAAGCTTCCAAATCATCACGGGCCAATGAAACCAATGAATGGACAGAAACTAGTCAATGCAACTAACAGTGGACTTGTTACTGTTGATGAAAAGAATAATCAACCATGAAAATGGCATTGTCCAAAAAATAAAAAATAAAATTATTTTAATTAGCAGAGTAATGATATTCATCGGAGGTGTGGTTTTGTGTCCAATGGCAACCAATAAACATATGGTTTGAAAGTGGGCGTTTCTTGTGATTCTTGAAAAGATTTTGCGACTTTGCGACGCACTGGAGCTCCATTTCTCTGTGGGAGTGGCTGCATGATCTGCTAAACAGCTACTTCTGAGGACTTGAGGATGCGGCTACTCCTTTTACTATTACTATTATGTAAGTAATAATCCCATAAAGTGTTCAATTTTCATGAAAATTGTGCTTTTTTACTAATAGATGGAGTTTCATACACTCACTGCAACTCATCAGGTACTACTGACATTAACACTGGTATTGGACTATTTTACTATTAATTTACAGGTTTAACTAATTGTACTGACTATTTACTTGATTTGAATGTAACTGATGGATGCGATGATTTAAATGGGGGTCATCTCTACTTTAACAGTTCTGAAGGATACCTTATTGATATAGAAAGTTATGATGCAAATAATGCTGACACAGTAAGTGCTATGCTCTTCCAATTCATTGCATGATTTACTCCATTGTTTTATTGTACTGTACAGTGGAATAATATATCTGTAGCTATAATGCAAAATGTGAGCAACAGTGGAGAAACCATTGATCTTCAAATACAAGAAGCTATTTCTGCAGGCCGTCTTCCAAACGATACTTTAGTTGGTAGCACAGTTTCTCAGGAGATTGCCAATAACGTTTATCTCAGTACAATTCTTGGAGGAAGGTACAATGTGTATATTCATTTATTACTATTAATTTATTAATTTTTTCATTAGCATATATCGTGCTTATAAGTACACTCCAAACTCGCCGGCTGATGCTAAAGATTTTGTTAATGCAACATTGGGGTCTTTGAGATACAATCATGGGGATCTTAATGACTTCAGCCCAAAAAACATTTGCATTATAGTCACTACTAATGCAACCGAAATCCAGGTTGCTTGCACTAGCATTACGTTTGTAGGAACAAACTCCCAGCCGCCTAGAATTTTATATGACGGTAAGATTTCATTATTATGGTGTTCATGCTTTATGTGGATTGTGAATGTCCTCTTGCTGGGTGGTCTCTCCATAACTGTATTTGGGTGGTGGAGTTGATTAGATTCATGATAATCAAGTTTCATAATGCCACAGTCAGACCAATGACATTCAAAGCCATCAATATAATCAGGAAATTTTTTATAATTATTATAAATATTTCTTTTTTGTAGGTCCCACGTTTAATTTCACAGAAGGTCAAGATGTACCAGTATTAGTAGTTTCTGATGATTTGACTGTTACTGATCCAGACAATCCAATGTATTTAATGGAAAGTGCTACAGTAACATTACTAGGTGCTCTGGAAATGTATGAAACACTAGGTATTGAAGGATCATTTTCTTCTTTTTACCATACAGTAAGTTTTGCTCTTTTTAATAAGAGAGCAATGATCATAAATGATGTTTTTGTAAAACAGTATGATCCTGAAACTGGTCAATTGACTATCAATGGAAGTGGGACTACTGAAGCTTATGAGGAAATTTTTGAGGCTGTTGTATATAGGAACATGTGAGTCCTTTACTTAATGTGGTGATGATGAATGTAATAATTTTAGTGATCCTGAACCAGCTCAAGATACACAATTCAGAAAAATTACATTTAGTTTATTTGATGGAATTTACTTAGGACAACTTGACATAAGGTCAGCTGATATAAAAATTATTTCAAATGTGTTTATTAATCAATTTAAATTTTAGGCTATTGCTTATCAATCGTAATGATGTCCCAACAATTGTCTTTAGTGAAGAAAGGATTACAACATACCATGAAAGAAATGGATCAGTTAAAATAGACCCTAGCCTGATGGTAGTTGATGCAGATCCAGGGGAAATGATACAAAAGTAATGACAAACTATAAATCTAATAAACTATTATGAATTTCATAAATTTTTTAGAGTTGTCATTACATTATACAGTGAAGATACTAATTTTGAAAGCATCAATATACCTAATAACATCATTACACTTGAATCTGATCAGTTTAATGTATCTAAGGAACAAGAGGAAATAGTATGCCGCTTTAATTTCGTAATAACATTATAATATCTCATTATTACTAATAGATAATTCAAGGTAGCGCCTCTCCTTCGGATTATGATAATTTACTACAAAATTTGGCATATGAACATACAAGCATACATCCTGGTAATCCTACTGTAGGCAACAGGTATTAATAGAGCAAAAAAGAATGCTATGCATTTGTGAATCATTTTTAGAACAATTGGTTTTTTTATTGAAGATGGTGAAAACTATAAAACAGTGAACTTCACTGTAAGTCGTTCTGTTTGAACATCATTACATTATGTCACTTTAATCCTTTAGTTCACTATTGAGCCAGTCAATGATCCACCAGAAATCTCATTCAACAACAACCTTACACTAAAGAGCATCCATTACACTGAAGATGATCCTCCATTACTAGTAGCAGAGGATTTGATATTGTCTGATATCGATAGCAATATTTCTAATGCAATACTTGTCTTTACTGGACTCTCCAATGGGCCTTCAGATTACTTTTCTGTTAATTCCAGCTTCATTGCAGCTTATGGACTTCAAGTCAACATCAGTGACTATACCAGCAATAGAACTATGATTGTCCACGGCAGTGCATCACCTGCAGCATATGGAAAGGTAAACTTAATACATTATTAATATGCATTATTAACTTGCATACATTGTATCCTTGTAGGTGCTGCAATCACTAGCGTATGTCAATTTGCTTAAAAATAACTCCATTACCAATGGAGTTCGTAATATCACTCTTCAAATAACTGACATTGGTGACTTGGACAGCTCTATTCTTACGATAATGCTGACAGTGAGAAGCAGGAACGATGAGCCTAATCTCGTTATTGATGAAATCATTCAATACACTGAAACTCCAACTGAACCGCCTGAGAATGTACACATTGTTACACTCCATCTTGTAAGCATTATAGATGAAGAAATGGATAACATCTCAAGCATAAACATCACTTTGACAGCCACAAACGGAGCCCTGGATGAGAATGAACAAATCTATATTGCAGGCAGTAATGATCTTCTTAATAAAGCCATTGTGACCTCCACTTCAATCTACATACCTTGTGAAGGAACAGTTACTGAGTATGTACAAGTCTTACGGTCCATCAAATATGTCAATTCCGAGGAAGAGCCTACATATTATGCAAATCCAGCCACAAGGGAAAAGCTTCAAAGAGTAATCATAGTAGAACTGACTGATAATAATGCAACCAGCCCATCAACTGCTACACATCGCATTCTTGTAAACTTGACACTTATTAATGATAATAATCCTAATATTAGTCTGAGATTCACTGATGGCTCTTCTTGTGCTGTTTCTCGGCCAGGGGGCTCAAGATTGCATGTAAATAGACGAAGCACTCGGTCTGTTAGGAGCAACTCGTCACAGAAAAGACTACAAATAAAGAGGAAAGGGAGAACCATGCTTAGACCTGTAAGTTATATGAATACAGTGCATTGTAGGGTTACTCATTGTGTCCCATAGGGGCTACTAATTGAATCAGCTTATAGTCGGTCTTCATCCCTGCTGGAGAATGTCACATGTCTCTCAAATATTACCATCACTTTTAACGCTAACACAACAACTCCGTCTGTTGGTGTCAAATGGGACCTACACTCTATTCTGAGGCTCTCACCATCTGATCTCAATCTATTGCCTCATTATGGAAAATGGACGGACCAACAGACACTGGTCATCAACTTTATGGGTTGCTACCAATTCAAAGAGCAGGATATACATGTTGCTTTTCTAGAACAAAAAGGTGAGTTTATGCACATTAAAATTATCATATAGATGATAATTTCTATTTCATGCAGTGCTTCATTCATTCCTGTATAAATTAATTGTGCTGCTTGCATCTGTACACGTACATCATAGCACTTATGTGCATGCACATTATAATAAATTTCCTTTCACTAGGTCATTGCAATGCTTCAACTCCATGCACTGTTGGAGTATGCTTCATGAATAAGACCGGCTGTCCTTACGTTGGCTTGCATCGGATCAACCACACTGAGCCTCTACCAACGGACAATCAAACTACAACGAGTGACCCAATCCCTTATCAGCGTCAGTTCCTCATTTCTTATATATTCATCACGGTTGTCTTTGGATCGATACTGGTCATCCTCATGATCAGTGTTGGAGTGGTGTATCGCATAGAAAGGAATAAAGCAGTCAAGCAGCTCTCATCATCAAAGGTGCAAGAGGTAAAGCCTGGTCCTGAGACCCTCAAACCAGCAACAAGCAATGATTCCACAATTGCTAAAGAGAAACTACCAGAAAAAAGCAAAGAGAATAAAGATGAGCCAGTCATTAAAGCAATGGATGAAAAAAGTGATGCAGAAGAAGTTGAAAAGAAGGAGAAGCCAAAGATACCAGAGTCACAGAAGTTATCAATAGCTAAGACACAGCCTGTACAGCACCAGAGTAGCAGCAGTAATCCCAGGAAGAGCCCCAGCAGAGAAAGGAGTGTCAGTCCGAATAAAAGAAGTACAAACAGTTCAAAAAATCAGTCGTCAGCAAAACTATAAGCACAATAGGTTACAAACAAGTTTTTAACATAATTTATTTTTATTATTTTTATTGCAACTTTTTACTTTTTTTCTTTGCATCATAATAGTAGATTTGCACTTTTGTACACTAAAATACATGTACATGTATACTCTCTCTCTCCCTCTTCTTTTCTATCATTTGCCTTTCCTGTCCACTTTATATTATTTAATACCATTCTTATTAAAAATTTGTATTAAGTTTTGTCAATGCCTTACCAAAGAAAGATTAATTTGCATCATAAAGAAATAAAGTATTAATCAAAAACATCATAATTGCAGTCCCTGTGATACAACAGATAAAATAAATAAAAGAAATTGAAAATAAATAATAGCAATCAATAAAAGCTCCAGAAATGTTGAATCACTTGGATTTCTTGTCATCATGTCCTTTGTTGCTGACAAGTACACCTCTGTACACAAGATACCCCAGGACACCCACAATCATAAAACCAGCGACAAAAACAAACAAGAAAGGAGCAAGTGTATTATAAAAAGTTGGTACCACAACAAGGTCTTGACTCAGAAATGGGAGCCTAACCATTGCATCATGAGGCATCATCAAAAACTGGACTGATGTGAGCATTACTGCTGTGATATGAAACAACTGGTGACTCTGAAAGAAATAGTCAAATTTTCCTGGGAAGAATCGCTCGGGGAGTTTGCTCACAAAGAAACCAGCCATTACGTGTGATATGAAGAAAGCAAAGAAATGAAGATGAAGCGTCTCTGGGAGACATTCCTTGCCGGATAAAACGCAAACAGTGAAACGACAAAAGAAAGGAAAGCAGCCAAAGCAATATGGCAAAATAAAAGCACCAGCTCTTAAGAGATAGCGATATTTCTCGAGATAGAAACGGGAGAGAGAGCACAAAAAGGTAGCATTGAGGGAAATGAGAATGTTAAGAGCCATGAACATACGAGTGTACTCAAAAAAACGAACATCTGACGGTCTCTCGTAAAAATAATAAGCAACTCCACCACCAAACCCGTACAGACTGATGCCATGATAGTCAATCATGAAGCATACCTGACGAGTGAAGAGGGACTTGCATGCAAACCCGTGAGCCATGCTAGAACAGAATGCATAAGCACAACCGCCAGCCCACAGAGCTAATAATGGATACCAAAAAGGATCGGTGAAATCAATAGAGTAGGAGAGTCGATATAGCCAATACAGCCACGCCCAAAAGGGTATGAAGTGCGTCCAGAAGTTACCCCAGTCATTGTGCAGCGTAAACATGTACTTGATGCATTGATAGAAAGAGGTGTTGGTCTGCCTGTAACCTGTTATAATGTACGGCTCCCAAAACACACGAGATATATCCTCCCTAGTCAGCAGTGTCATCATGCACAAACCTAATAAATAAAATTACAATTATAATGAATATAAAATTAGTGTTATATTCTTGAAACAGTGGCATGTCAATCTATTTATTGTTGACAGATGGTGGAGGCTGGTAATTGCTTAATTATTGTCATATTACTGTGCATAGACACTGAACAACATATAATTAACTAGCCAATATCTACCACAGGGCAGTAGTAATATTATACAACAAAACTACAGATTTATGTACCTGAAATTACTATAATAATGCTAAACAATGACAAATATAATAAGTGAGGTAGGCAAACTCACTTATTTACCTTCTCTATAAGAGCTGGTCCAGTTTGAAACGAGTTAAGGGCTGCTGGCTGACCTAGACACTAATAAAGTTATGGGTATCAATTACAGTATATAATATTTTTATGGGTGTGTTTTTGAAAAGGACACGCCTATAGAGCCACACCTTCGACTTCTCAAATAGTCAATCTTCATTCAAGATGGGTAGCAACTAACAACCATACTGTAAGGTTTTAATAAATTAGTTTATATGCATGTACATTTATGTTGTGTAGAAATTTTTGAAGTAATTTTGGTCAAAATTAATTTTTTTACAATTTTTTTTGCAAAAATTAAAATGAGAGAACCCTCCATTTTCAAAGTTATTTCTGATTTTATGTTGTGTAGAAAGTTCAAATCAAGTTGAGATTTTTTACTAATTTTTAAAGCTGCTCCAAAATTGGGCCAAAGTACCTGTACTATTATAAATCCAGGGTGTTTGGCCAAATTTTTCAAGGAATTAAAAATATAGAATTTTCCATTTTTATAATATTTTATAAGACATATACATGTTTTTATGTTGTGTTGAAAGTTTGAAATGATTTTGATCAAGCTTAGATTTTTTACAAATTTTTGAAATTGCTCCGAAATTGGGCCAAAGTCCCTGTACTATAGTGCATTTGATCAAATTTTGCCAAAAATGAAAAGCTGAGAATTCTCCATTTTTATAATATTTTCTAATACATATACATGTACTTATGTTGTGTAGAAAGTTTGAGGCGATTCCGATCAAATTTAGATTTTTTGCAATTTTTTAAAATTGCTCCAAAATTGGGCCAAAGTCCCTGTACTATAGTACAGGGTGTTAGGCCAAATTTTGCAAAAAATGAAAATTAGAGAATTCTAAATTTTTAAAATATTTTTAATACGTATGCATGTTCTTATCTTGTGTAGAAAGTTTGAAGTGATTCCGATCAAGTTTAGATTTTTTACGAATTTTTTAAATTGCTTCAAATTCAGGCCAGAATCCTTGTACTATAGTACAGGGCATTTCGCCAAATTTTGCCAAAAATTAAAAACTGAGAATTCTCCATTTTTATAATATTTTCTAATGCATATACATGTACTTATGTTGTGTAGAAAGTTTTAGGTGACTCCGATCAAGTTTAGATTTTTTACAATTTTTTTAAATTGCTCCAAAATTGGACCAAAGTCCCTATATTCATCAAAAAGTAACACAAAGAGATGTATGCAAGCAAAATTTTTGATTTACGATTGTAGGAAAACACGACTATAGCAAAAATTTTATGTTCATTTTAATAATTATTTTTTTTTACAAATACCAGTATAGGCTGCCATTCATTATCATGTCAGGAGGATCTCCACATTCCCCTCTCTTTGGAGTCATTGATGCAGCCTCACATGCACTGACTGACAATACCCTCTCATTTACTAAGTCAAATATCAATCCTATTGATATTGCTAATGGTCTATACGCAGCTAAAGGACTTAGCGAAAATGTGTACACAAAAATTACCACAGGGCCTCCTGCCTCTCCTTCCAAGTCACTTTTACTTATATTTAATGATGTGAAAGGAAACGTCGGAAAAAACAATATCATTCTCTTTGACATATTTCTTACCCAGTTGGTTCAGAGGGGTATGGCTGGCTCCAAGTTTGCACAGACTCTACTGGAAAGCTATCAAAGTATATTTATTTAACAACAAGTACAATTTTGTATGATTTTGGTTGATATAAATGACATCTTTGCCCCTAGCAAAATTGTAGTTTATTATATATTACATATTGTCCATTATGTATTATTAATTCAGTTTTCCTTTACTTGTAGATTTTGTAGAAAAGCAAGAGGAGGAAACATCTACAGGTACAGGTATGATTAGAATTCTAGTAATTGCTTATCAAAATCACACTATCATTTTCCATAAGTTTACGATTTGGAAGCTGAACCTAAATTGGCAGATCTCATGAATTTAGTTGCAGCAAAGGTGAATTAGCCATATTGATTACATGGCACTATAAATGCACAGAACTATAAATATAATGTTATTTTTATTGTAGATTTCTTCTGACTGGCGTTTGGTTGGCATTCAACTTGGTATGACGAATTCAGAGCTTGATGCCATTCAAATGGACATATCTCTTGCTGGGAAGCCAATACTTATGCTGCAGAAAGTCTTTAGTCATTGGGAGAACTCTGGAATAAAGCCATACACATGGTCAACTGTTTTAGATGTTTTAAAGTCTCCATCTGTTGGCCATAATGGCCTGGCAGACAGTATAGTGTCATCTGCAGGTTAGTACAATGTACCACTAATGGAGTGTCCCAGACAAATTAGCAAAAGAGAAAGGGAATATCCTATGATTATGAATAAAGAATAGAGAGAGAGAGTGTGGTATCTATTATACATGTACACACAGTAACAGGTGTTGCATCCTAGCATCCCATAATTCACATTCATATTGCTATAAACTCTGGACTGATGCTTATATATAGTTGTACCCACAAATACTATAGATGCCCTTATGATTAGCCTAATTACCTACCGATGCATGCCTTCATTCCATATACCCATTCACTGTGGCTAATACTAACTATATTTTATTATGCCACTAGAGGAGCAAAAAGTCATGAAGACTAAGGCAATCATGAAGAGAGCTTTAAGGAAAAGATACGTTGATCTTTGCTGTGTCCTAAGTGGGAGCTATGATACTTTTTCAAGACAATTTCTGAGCATATCAACAAGTTACGATGCCACAATGAGGGAATTTGTTTCCATTTTGAATTCATTAACCACAATGACCAAAGTGGAATCTCATTGCAATAAGTTCTTGCTAGCTTTGAGGAGTATTGGCCAACCTGTTACTGGGGCTGGTAGTTCTATAGGCAGAGATTGGACAGATGCTGTTTATGATGGCGTGGGCATTCGCTTGAACTTTGAAACCACAGTAACTTGATGAAATTTATAGACACAGACACATGTGTAATAAAAATTTTAAATGATATAATAGTTATAGCACTAAAATTTATATGAATAACAGTATTATGAGGTTATGCTATGTAGTTAAGACTCCTCCCAGTCCCAAGTCAGGGGCAGCCACTCTGTCAGCTCAGGAATTTCTATGTCACTGATGTCTGGAGCCTAAAGAGCCAATAATAATGTAATGTCACATAACATAATATAATATACCGCATCCCATGCAGTTTTGATCGTTATCACTTCATTAACACATTTCAAAATTCATGTGGACACTCACCTCTACTGCTCCATCCACCTCCTCTATCCCTCCTGCTTTCAAGGCCGAAAGGTCATTTCGTATGATATTGTACAGCTTGCCGATCTCTTTTGACTTGATGCCTTGCTTTTCCAACACATGACTGTAATATTGTAGTCCTTCCAGCATGTCTTCCAGTGTCGGCTCCACTTCTCTGTGTACCCTATCAACAGCAGCAGTGACATGAAGGAATGCTACAATGAAGGCATTGCTGGTAGATATTTCGGGCAATTGGCAAGCCACAAAAAAAGATGCCATGCTATAGACCATAGATGCAACTGCAGATCTGAGTAACCTCCCATTCAATAATTCAAGCTCTTTTAACTCTTCTAATGGGCCATTAGACTGTGACACTATCTCCAACCAGGCCTGACATTTGTCTGGTATTACTATGGACTTTCCTCCCTTGCTTTTAAAATGGTAATATTTGAGGGCAAATTCGAACCGACCAACCCCCAAATCAGTTTGCTCGTCGGACTCCTCTAGTAGGCTCTGAACAAATTTATTCAAGCGATATTCCTTAAACTCTGGCTGCATCGTCTTCCATTTCAACTCTTTCCTCTTCTTGTCGTATCCTATCAATAAAGATGACATCGCTATGCAGCATTTCTCGCAGCCCTCATACACCTCCTTGATGGCCAGCCTGCCATGCTGTACAGCTGTGTTATTATAAAGCGAGGTTCCCAACGCAAAGTTGAATATGGAGTGTCCCAGTGTCGTTATTACCAATGAGGACTCGTGGGCAGTGCATGAGGTAAGCACAAAGAGACCTGGTATTGGGATATCAGTTTGAACAGTGTTTATCACTATCTGTTCAGCTATGCCACCAGCATAACAGCAATCTAATATCAAGAGGATATAGCGACCTTGGAATCTCACGAAATGAAGCCATTCGACTATCAAACCCGCTGTGACTAGTGTATGAGGAGAGCAGTTGAAGTCTGATGGAGCTAACCCCCACTGGTCACTGCCTACACCCTTCAACCCGTGACCAGAGAAAGCAAAAACAAATATCCCGTTAGTGTCTACTTTACTGGCAGACTCCATAAACGACTTCTTCATGCCATCGAATGTGCAAGAGGCTGGGGATTCTGAAGCAACAAAGACCTTGTTTCTATTTCCTGAGATGCCAACTATAAGGAGAAAAATATGTGTCAAAGCATATATAATGTCAGAATAATTTCTTGTCAACTAATAAATACGTGAATATAAATGTATAATTCATTATTATAGTAACGGTGTTGACACATGTACTAACGAAAATGAAACAAATTTTAAAACAACGGAATTTGTAATACTTACCTGCTTTTGAGAACATTTCTGATAAAGCCTCGGCATCATGCCTAACAATATTAGACAGTGTCTTGTCACGGAACTTTGGATCAGTTTGCTTGTCTATGCCATACGATATCATTTGACTATGATCTTTGCTGAACTCTAGCATCTCCGGTGGTAACTGCTCCTCCATTCTAAGTGAGCCTTTCTTGCGTAAGATGGTATGTGAACGAAGACTACCAAGTGATTGGCCCATTGTATAATTTGTATTGCCTGTTAAAGGAAGCAGCATTTAATTACTTATTACATGTATTCATTAATCTGATTAAATGTTTAGTTGGTACTTACATTTACTTACTTCTTATTAAGTGTGAGTCCTCTTGTATTTTTAGGGGCGATAATGACTTGAGCCACACCTTTTTATTTGTAGGCGGGGCTCAAAATGAAATTCATTGCTATTATTATGCATTAAAAATACTTTGTGCTAAAAATAATTTCTATTCCACAGCAACAAATTATGCTATAGGTTACATACTCTTTAATGATAAAGCTTTTGTGCTCTATCCACAATCATGTACATTGTACATATCACTGACATGATGTTTTTTTTGGCACCTACAAATTTTATTCATAGATCTATTCTGTCTAATGTGCAAAAGTGATCATTTCATTTTGTCATTATTGATTTATCATTATAAATATTATTTATCATTATTTCTGCTGGTCGACCATTATGATTAATCAGTTTGTCACTCACAAAATTCCCTTTAATTATAGCATTTTTATAGTTTACTCCAAAGGTCATCTGCGAGGTGTTCATATGAATAATACAGAAATGGTTTCCATTATTAGCTTTACTTTGTGTATAGGCACTTCAAAGGGACATCAAAGGGACATGTCCTCGAGCCGCTCTTAATTACTACGTTTTGTGGTCCCGGCTTTTGCACCAACAGGAAATTAGGCGCCGCAGAGTGACGCGTATACAGGCAATCCGACATTGGCCAATCACGAGCCTGTATTCACTTCCCATGAATATAGTTACAGTGCCTTTCATAGCATCATAACAACTCCTTTGTAGAGAGCGAGCCGTCTTCTTTGAAGTGCCGACCCGCTCCAAGACTCTCTTCATCTCCCGCGGACAGCAGGAATAAGCCTCCAATAAGGTTGGAGGGTGATCTAAGAAGATTGCTTGGTAATACTTTACTCTCGACTCTCTCTCTCTCTGTTCCTCCCCCTCTCTCCTCCTTGATCAAAGACTGCGGCTTGAGACCCATAAAAGAACCGACCGTCAACTTGTACATACCTTCACCTTCTGATCTTTGCTAATATAGTCGCGACACAAAGGGAGCCTGATGGCAGCAACTAGTGCTCAGCCTCCACCAGGCACGACCGGCCAACCCCAACCACCAGGCGCAGCCGTTGTCTCCTCCAATGGCGATCCAGAGCTAGCCACCTCGGACGAGGTAAAGGAATACTGTCATGAAGGCGAGGGAGAGAAGACGGAGCATCTCAACTCTATGGACCTCCATGACATAAAGACAGAGCTGGAGAAAGATGCTGAGGAGTCAGAGGTGAGTTATTGGACGCTACCACATGAAAAGTATCTTTGTTTTCATAAATGCATGCACATCAATGAGTACAAAGTCTAATTAATGTTTATGATAAGCCGTGGCATATCAATTAGCTAAGGCACAGGGATGGCGTCCTAAAGTGTGCATTGCTTTAGATACAAGACACAGTATCCATCCTATTAGTGTAAATTGTTAAGTCCCTTTATGTCTCAGAAGAAAGGTGTAAACCACTCCAGACAAAAGGTGGTGTGTGTGGTTAAATCCAATCAACCAGTATACTCCTCATCAAAGTCAACCAAAATTAATTCTAAGTGTCTCACTCGTTGCATTCTTCTTGACTTTTATTACTCATATTTGCCTTCGTCATTGGAATGTTTCTCTTCTTGTAGACACCCACAACATCTTCCAACAATAATCCAGCAGCAACGTTCAATACTTCACCAAGTACAACAGGTAATGCATGTATGTAAAAAAATAATAATAAGCAATTGAATCTCCTCATTTTTTTCTTATGCAGTCATTAATCATACACTTCAGTTTCGACCCACAGTTGTTCAGCCAATGGTTAGTATTAAGAGCTACATGTATGCACACATTCTGTCTCTTAAATTTTATTTTTAGTCTTTCTCATTTTAACCTTTTATGTAATATGACAATTGAAATGTGTCATTTTGGCCTTCTTTTGTTATATGATAAATGTCTCTGTACTAGTTCAAGGCGCCATCTCACTAACAGCCTTGTCTCTTTTGCATGAAATCCTCTCTTTAACGTTTTTTTAAGTATCATTTCTATTGCATTCTACTCCTCACTAGGTGTTGATTCTATTAATTTTATTTATTATTATTACTATTACTATTATTATTATTTCCAGGTGTATGCTGCCAATGGTTTCATGCCATTCGCTACTGGGACTTCGCTTTACAGACCAGTAAAGATGGAAGTTCAAGGCACCGCAACAGACTGGTATGTGAAATGCCTCTGTGATGATGTTGCACAACTAGTGGCAGGTGTTACACATTTTAGTGGTTTCATTTAAGTTTGTGAGACATAGGTGACCCCACTCCATTTGCTTTAGGCTATACAATGTGTGTACCCAATGCATACTCACCGCTGCTATGTGTTACAATAAGGAAGTGCTAACACTTTGAGCTTTCCGTTAAATCTCTCCTCCAAGTTGTGAGATAATGATAATACTCGCTCAACAATTGATTACTACTTGTACAGGAAGCATTAAAGTGTACTGTATAGTGGCGTCCTGCTTTCATTCGTATTGTTGTGTTGGCTGTAACTATCTTTGTATTTACTAGAAAACTATTCATACGACTTGTGTGGTTGTCACTAGTGATCAATAGGCCAACATTGAATAATAATAATAGCATTGTTGTTATTTTATTATTTGTTATTACCAGGACCAAAGCTGCTGCCAATGCCGCCGCTGCTACACAAGGCATTAGTATACCTTATGGTTACACAGGCGGGTTTGTCTCTGGCCTACCCATTGATCAGAGTTTAAGACCGGCAGCTTACCCTTTCTTAATGCCAACCGGACAATATGTCACACAAATGCCGTATCCACAACAGGTAGGGCTGGTCAAGTGTTTGTATAATTGTACACTCTTTTCTCTCTTTAGCTTGCTACTACATTTGGAACAGCAGCTCCTAATGCAGCAGTACAGCCTCATTCAGGTATAATAATACATTACATAGTGTGCCTGTGTTTGTGTATGTGCATAAACTGCATGGTATATTTAGTTCTTGTCTGTGCTGCTTCCTTGTCTCATTCTTGGAGACAAAAATTTCCTTTCTGTTTTGTATGAGTCTATTTTCAAGTGATTATAATGACAGGGTATTGCATGTGGATCTCTGATGTGGTTGTAGTCACAGATTGTGGGACTTTTGCTAATACATATTTATTCCATGTCCAACAGGTATCATAACACCACAACAAAAGGAGAAGAAACCACACATCAAGAAACCTTTGAACGCATTCATGCTCTTCATGAAAGAGAAGAGAGCAGAAGTCATCAAAGAGTGTACCTTGAAAGAATCAGCGGCCATTAATCAGATACTGGGAAAGATGGTAAGCTGAAGCTTTAATTCATGATAAGGCATTGTGAAAGTGTCGTAGTTGCTATTTACTTTTTTTAAAATAATTTTAATAATTATTATAATATCAATAATACATGTAGGTGAGTAATTTTCATGATAGTAAATATAAAGTTCAAAGAAAACATTTTTTAGCTACAATAGTACACATTGCTAATATCACTTATCATATTTCATATAATTATTATATTATTATAATCATGTAGTGGCACAAATTGGACAAGTCAGAGCAGGCAAAGTACTATGAAATGGCCAGAGAAGAGAGAGCCAGACACATGCAGATGTATCCTGGCTGGTCAGCTCGGGATAACTATGCTGCTCACAAGAAGAGGAGAAAGAAGAGATCGAAGCAAGCTGAAGGAAGTGATGAACCCAATTCTTGTAAGCATGATAGACTTAACTGTATAGTCTAATATATGTTAATGTAATGTATGAATCGTTCACAATTTTGTTGCGTGCAAGTTTTCGGTTATAGATCATTGTACTGTACTGTTTGTTCCTATGTGGCAGTACAGTTTTACCTGCTTGTTGGGGATGATGTCAAGGAAACCAAACCTGAGTGTGGTTTTACTCCTTGTTTTATAGCATGGGGAATGTGCAGTGATTCCACACATGTGCATGTATTTGTACACGTGTAGTACACCAGGCTTACTGAATGCGTTTGGTATGATATTATCATTATCATGTATTGTATTTCTTGTGTGATTATTATATTTCATTCGCTAGTCAATGAAACAGAGGTGGTTAGTGAAGATGCTAATAATAAGTCGACTGAAGAACCACCACTAAAGAAAGTACTAAGAGTCGAAGATAACAATCTAGGTATGCATCAGATGATTGACATTAGAGCTTTTTTAGCTGATATCTTATCTCTCTTTGATTTATGTAGATAGTCCTAGAAAGTGTCGTGCTCGTTTTGGAATGGATCAACAACATATGTGGTGTGGACCTTGCAGGTGAGCTCATCATGTGTGTGTATATGTGTGTGTGTGTGTACATACATGTACATATTAGCTTTAGTGTCGCATTACAAATGCTTTTCCTGTTCTCATGCTGTGTTGTAAAGCTTGTGTAGACATTCTTTCTAAGCTGCTTCACATGTTGTGTCAAATGCCTGATGCGTGTACCTTCATTTAAGTAGTTTTCAATCAGTTGTCACTACCCTCTAATACATGTACTGATATGTAGCTCATTCGATAAAGACAATACTTGCACTTTTCTGTATGCTATAGGAGAAAGAAGAAGTGTATCAGAGTGGAAGATGATGGCTCTAGAGACTCAACTGAAGAGCTTGATGACATTCAGACTGAACAATCAATCAATGACAATTCGTAATAAGAGCCAGCCCATCCTTCCTCATCTACCTCACCTCACCCTCTCTTCGCCTTTTGAATTTTATGTTGCATATTATGATAAAAAAATACTTATTATTATTGTTATACTTATTTTTGATGACGATTATTAATGATGATGGAATTTTACACTGTATTATTATTATTATTATTATTATTATTTGTTATTATTATTCACTGATCCCTCTTTATAAAGAAAGCATTACATGTATTATCTTAATAGATCAAAGAAAAAAAATTACATTAATAACTGAAAGAGGTGTGGTCTCCCACCTAATTAAGGTGGGAGGGGCTGGAAAAAGCATGGATCTCGAGGGTTGTCTGGTTGGTGGTGTTTATGAAGTGAAGAGGAGGCTACAGAGCGGATATTTTGGTGTGACATGGCTCGCAGAAAATAAGACGACTAACAGGGACGTTTGTCTTAAGGTATCGATAAAGGTTTAGTAATAGTTTTGTCATGTCTTGTTTAATACTTGTCCAGAACATGTGCTTCCTTGTTCCTTAACTTAAGATTTTTAATGGTTTAGGGGCTGTATTGTCTACTGTTGGGCCAATTAATGAATTAAGACGTAATATTAAAAGCTGCTATTATAATAGTTAATTATTATTGTGGGTGTGGCTGACACTCCCACTGCAGCATAATTATAATCCTATTATTTTGATTATTATATGACTGTTGAATTTATATGGCTTTAATAGTCTCACAGTGTGTTCATTATCTCATTCTGTGGTCATTCACTTACTATAGCTCACTAATCTTAGTTATTGTTGCACTAGAGCAGCCCTGATTGACTGATTCTGATTCATTCAGCATGAAGGGTCAAGTTTTGGGGTCAGATTTTTCCTCGCATTTAAGACATAAACTCGTCATTTTACAAACAGCTCGAGCTTATTATGATAACTTTAGTACAACAATTACGCTATAAACAAGCATTGCTGTGTTGTCTTTGGCAAACACAAACATCTAATAAAGTGTTGTTGGTGTATAGAAGAAAGTTGATTCTTACTTACATGCGTGTGTACTATTGTTTATTTTGTCTGATAAAGTCTCATCTTATTATATTTTCTTTTTTTGTAGACTTTTTTTAACGAGAGCCAGTCCCAGAGAAAGGAACTGGTCATACTGAAGCAGCTCTGTGAGGGACACTTTGAACACGATTACATTTGTCGTGTACTAGACGTGTGCATTGATAGATCTCCGGTCCTAAATGGATCCGGTAAGTCTGTGTATATATATATATATGTACATATATATACATGTGAAGGTCAAAATTGTTTATAATTTCAGGTGTCGTTCTTGGAAGGATACAGTTTGTTGTTTTTGAGTACTGCTCTGGGTCGGACCTGTTTAATTTTCTTTGTAGCGGCCCTTGGGAGAAACATAGAAAGTTAGCCTACGGCTCTTTATGATACTTTGATGACTTTGCGGCTTCCGCATTCATTTTCAGTTTATCTTGCACGTCTGTCTCTTTGATTAACCGCTTTATTTAAAATTCCTTTTCTCGTGTAGAGTATCTAATTTCTCTGAACCTCTTGCTCGTCATTATTTCAAGCAAGTCCTTTTAGGTGTCATGTATCTTCATGAAAGAGGAATGTACCATCGGTATGTATCAGGAAAATGTATTAAAAGTTGGGAATGATTTCTGAGCCAATTTTAGGCAAAAAGCATGGGTATATACTACACTAGAAATTGGCTTATATATTGTAATATTATGATTATTATTATTAGCAGTATTGTTAATGATGATCTCTCACATGCACGTCAACTGATTAGCACATGTACTAAGTTCCTTAGTACATGTCTTTATTGTGATGATTTGTGTGTCTGAAACTATTACTAATAATAACACAAGTACACGTACATGTGTACATGTACAGAGAGAAAGAGGAACGATTAGAATGACTTTTTTAACGTTTGCTTATTCATTTATGATGCTCTGTTGTTTTTCATATAGGGACATCAAACCAGAGAACTGCGTTTTGGACGATAACCTCAATTTGAAACTGACCGACTTTGGAACAAACAAGGTATTAACACATACCATAAACATGTACCGTAATTGATTAACCTGCCAGTCTTCGCCGTAGAGCCTGCACTAATCATAAATTAATTTAATAAAATTAGTTTAATTCGAATTATTAATTTATATTTATTTCTAATTATTCATTATTATATTAGTAATTGAATAAAATTAAAATACTGACTAGTATTGAACAATTATTATTTATGCAACCATACCAGTATTTTGCAGATGCTGACCCAATGAAACTCATTCGTACAAAGACAAGAGGTGTTGGAACCGAGACCTACAGAGCCCCTGAAGTTAACTCGGGACTTGACTATGATCCTGCAGCTGCTGATGTCTGGAGTCTAGGGGTCACACTATTCTTCTTTGTACGTTGGATTCTTATTTTGCGTTATTCTTATATACAGTATATATATGTGTTATATATACATGTACTTGTGTAGGTTGGGGTTGAACAAATGTTTGCTAAAGTCCAGACTTTAGACTCCTACTCTAAACAAATAATAGCTCCACTAGGAATATACTTTCCCTTCCCCCTCCACTGCTCAAAACTTGACTCATACCTAAGGAGGTCAGTATACTGTACATGTAATGGCAGCTGTACATATAATGATACATGGTATATTAATAAATGGTGTCTCTTTCTACGTGTTCAATTGTTCGTGTATATCAGGGAGGCTGATTTGAGAGGGCGTGGTGTTAATGGAAGCCTCAAAGGTTCTGCACTGCCTAACGAGTCCTTCTGGTCCGAGTGGGAGTGTCTCAAGGTATCGATTAGTCCGGGCCTGCGTGACCTGTTGAACAGGATATTCGTGTTAGACGCTGGACTAAGGATAACGCTGAGGGACATATTGAGACACCCGTGGGTAACAATGGAGGACGGTATGTCGCCCGATATCATTAAAATGGAAATGGAGAACAGGTAATTAGTATACTATTAGTATATTGTTAGTATATTATTATTATTAGTATTGTTAATGATGATCTCTCACATGCGCGTCAACTGATTAGCACATGTACTAAGTTTCTTAGTTCATGTCTTTATTGTGATGATTTGTGTATCTGAAACAATCACTAATAATTGATATAATAATACTCTCTTCTTTCTTTGTAACACATGTCATTGCATGGTTACTGCTCATTAGAGTAAGCCTAAAACCACAACAGGACTCACTGATAATTGACTATGCTTTGATGAGCGTTGTTTACCATACATGTGTACCATAAAGTTATTTACTATTATTATTATTAATATTAATATTATTATTATTATTATTAATATTATTATTATTATTATTATTATTATTCTAGGTGTCCATCAGCCATAAGGATGTCTCGGGATGCCAGCCCTTTACTAGTTGGATCAAAATTACTAGGAGGCGTTGATAGGGTAAGGATAAGGCTAAGTAGTCATTGTACTTAACCAATGTATTAATTTGTAAAATCACATTATACACATGTACTAGTTATAATTTATTTAATCCAATTCTTCAATGAGAAACATTGTCCTACTATACTGAAACACGTTCACATGGTGCTAATGTAGCAGGGACAGTGAAAAACCTTGAAGCAAGCTGTGGTAGTAAGTCATACCACTCCAGCTGTGGAAGTTGCCATTAATTAGAAGATGATTATAGCTGTCAAGTCTCATTCATGTGCATGCTCAGAGCACACATGATAAATATCATGATAGTGAAAATAACAGCTATCTGCCCAGGCCTAATTAACTCATTCACATACAGTTATAGTGTATAATTCTTTACACAAAATTGATTTTGTGCAACATCAATAATTATGGTTATAAGTGGTGTGTGTGGCATAGTCTGCTTAGTCATGTTATGAATTCTAGTTGCTATTTTGCTAATAATTATCTCATATTTGTAAAGGAAGTGCTCGTGTGTTGATGTCATTCATGAATACACTTCATGAGTAGTTGTCAAGGAACCGCATTGTTTAGATAATCCCGTGAATATCATGTGTACACATTACATTGTGTCCATGAATAATTGAGTGATGTACATGTACGTGTACATGTATTGAGGTCACAATTAATACAATAAAGCATTAATTGATTAATAGGCAAAGCATTATTATGATTGTGATTGGGTAATGATAATTATTACCACAATAATGTCTGTTAGTAATATTTTGTTGTAGACTTTGTCATTATGCTCTGTGGTATAATCTTTTTATTGTCTTTTGTCTTGTAGGTGGTGCTAAGAGAGAGTCTCTCTGGAGCAAATAAAGAGGACATTGCATTTCCTGAAGACTCGGAGATTTGGCAGTGGTCATTGCAGATAGAACATCTTGAGAGCCTCCAGTTGAGGATATCCGGAGGAGATGCTCAGGTAATCATCGTTTGGCTAATGGTAAAGTAATTCTAATCTAAGCTTGAGTTGTTGAGTTGATTTCTAATTTTTTTGCAAATTTTTAAAGTTGCTCCAAAATTTGGGTCAAAGTCCCTGTACTATAGTACAGGGTGTTTGACCATGTTTTACCAAAAAATAAGACTTGAAAAAAATCAATTTTAATAATTTTTTCTGATGCGTATACATGTTTTTATGTTGTGTAGCAAGTTTGAACGAATTCCGATCAAGTTTTGATTTTTAAAGAAATTTTAAAGTTGCTCCAAAATTGGGCCAAAGTCCCTGTACTATAGTACATGGTCTCGGGCCAAGTTTTGACAAAAATGACAAGGAGAGAATTCTTCATTTTTATAATTTTTTCTGATGTATATACATGTACTTATGTTGTGTATAAAGTTTGAGGTGAGTCCAATCAAATTTGGATTTGTTACGAATTTTTAAAGTCTTTCCAAAATCGAGCTAAAGTCCCTGTACTAGCCGGCCCATGGTATTTCATCAAAATTGACTCCAAGAGAATTTTTATTTTTTCTAATACTTATACATGTACTTGTTCTTATATGTATGTTGTGTAGAAGGTTTGAAACTTTTCTGTGGTAACAATTGTAATTTTTAAAGTACATGTACATGTAACTCTGTTCCCATTTTATCATTGTTTTTACAGGAAGTGATGATGGATTTGAATATTACTCTAGAGCTGGTGAGGAATGTACTCAAAGAGCCAGCTAACGAGAGGCATAGACAAGTAATGGTTGATCACATTAGTAATGAATGGATCGGTAAGTCTGTGTAACCCTTTACATGTAAAGGAAAACTCACAAAATAACTGCTCAGAATAAGCTTTAACTTTATGTGAAGAGCATCAATATGTATTAAAAGCTAGGAGCATTTTCAGAGCTTACTCTGATACAAGTGTATCAAGTATAATTCAGTACTTTAATTCATTCAATTTTTCTTTATCTCTTTTCTAGCTCAGTTGTTTCTGATTGTTGGTTTCCTTCCTAAAGACAATTCTCTCGTCCTCCTTGATGAGTATCTTGATCTCAATCTTTTAAACTGTGCAGTATCTTATCTTCAAGGAATAGAGCTTGCTGTGACAAGAGCTGCCATTTACACACAATGGTACAGAATAGAGTATATAATATACACAATTCATTAATGTGCTACATGTTGTGATGTTTTAGCACGGACGATGGTAATTCTGAAGGTTTTGAGGAAGACATGGAAATGGAGGCTGGTGTTATGCCACTAGAGGAGGAGGAGGAGGAAGAGATCACGACGTTCAGAGATAGCGTGACATTAAGAGGAGAGTCTGTTACTGAGTATGATACTAGTAGTAGTCAATCTTTTTTTAATAATCCCATCAGCACCACTGCTACTGCATCAGGGAGTGATCCATTAACAATCCCAATTAGCATGCACCAGTTTTACAATAGGAGTATATCTTCCAATGAAGACAACATGTCACAAGGTCTGTGTCTGCTCTTTTTTATATGTACCTGTATGTACTGCATTATAGAGACAGCAATAGCTTCGTCACAAGAGTCAATGTGGGCTCCAGGCAGTGTGAGCACACAAAGCTCTCAGGTAGTAGTATATGGCTCATTAATGGTACAAATTCACATTACTCCTCCATCTCTTTCTGTAGGATGATCTCCCTGATGGCTATCAGTTAGTTCACGAGTGGAATGTGGACTTTTCTCCCTGGCATAGACTCATAGAGTTATCCAGCACACTTCAAATACATGAGCCCAAGCAATACAGGGCAGCTGCCGAGTTTTGTAAAATGTCTGGATTACTATGTAGCTATGGATTGTATCAGGTAAGGTCAACTGACACAGACTGGAAGATGCTGCTCTTAAAATATCATCCATTAGGTTGTGTGTCATGATCAGTTGGCCATGTACTGTAGAGGGAACATTGCCTCATTCTCAATGAGGATAGTTAATCAAATTGTCGATGGTCTATGTAAGTGAACAGTATCGGTTCCACTGATGTTATGAGTATATTACATACATAGGTAAAGTATTCATTTCTACATGGTGTATGTGTGGAAATGACGAATGGGCTCTAGTACTAGAGAGATTGAGTAAGGACATGCAGTAAAGTCGGGACGTTATAAGGATGCAGCCCTTTTTTAATTTTCTTTATTTTTCTATTGTTATTCTCATATTTTTTTTCATCTCCAATAATAATTCAGTGCATAAAATAATAATTATTTTAACTTATTCCTAATGAGCCATGCATGTTTGAATGGGTGCACATAGAGAAGCCCGGTGGATTTTTCTTAGAATTTACTCTTGGAGCAATGGAGCATAGATAGTAGAGTGAATTACATAATGGCATAAATGAAATAATGGTGATAATTAGTAACCCCACCCACTTGAATACAATCGATAAACAAATGGCTACAAGTTTTCTATTACTTGTATCAGCTCTGGTACCTCTTTTGACTCTACAAGGTCAGTCTGATATTTTTCAAATTCTTCAGTGTATAGTTTATTTCTTTATAGCTTTAGCAGACAGAATAGATGCTTTCCAACGCTGTCTGGCTGATACTGACCTCCCGTCCATCAACACAAGCAAGCCTACGTGCAGTGATCACCTCCTTGAGATTGTTGCAGAGTATGATAGCAAGTCTCCTTGCGGCCAGTTGAAAAGATTTGCTGCTTATATTGAGCTCCATGACGTTCCTTATGAGGAACTCTCCTCACTGACTTTAAGCCCTGCTGGTGATGGTGATGGTGGTGATGAGGATTCCCAATCAACATTGAAGGAAATTGCTTATCATTGTTATTATGATATTGATGACAGGCTTTGTTCCGACTATAACTTTTGCATCGATTCTTCGTCACTTCCAGTCCTGTACACCAGAGATGCTTGCTTGATGGAATCCTCTGTTCTCATTGCAGGCGAAAGTTTCAACGAAAAGATATACACATATCAAATGGCAGTGGCAGTCATCATTGAGTCTAATTATGCGGATAAATATAACCCAGCAATCACACAGCATTACATGCACACGTGTATGGAGCACTACAATGATATTGAGATCTGCTTGTTTGAAATCTTTCATCACTGCTTTACATTGGAGGATGTCTACTATTACACTCCTTACTGGTGCTATTATGACGTACTCACTATGATGTGTAGCCAGTTTAAAGGTGATGAACAGCTTCTCTGTGAAGTGGTTTTGGAAGCTAGATGGGAACTGAGTCTAGTTAGCGAATGCACTAATGAGAACAATAAAGGAAAATGCGTAAGACAATTAGATTATAATTGTTGACATAATATTATATTAGTATCAATAGTTATAATATTTCATGTAGGAGGACATTATCACGGGGATTGTTGACACCAAGCCAATATCTCAGATAAATTCCAGTGATATTGATCAAATGAAAGCCGTCCTTTCTGCTAACTCTCGTCAACTCAACTATACAAATGAAACGCTGACACAGCTGAGTAGGATTGTCGAGTACTTCAGTTTGAATCAATCTGCTGTGTCAATGATTATTGACAAGCAAGATGCTAACGTGAGGGCTTGTTTGCTCTAAGCATTATTTTTGTTTGATAATTTTAGACATTTTTGTCCGTTATCAGTGGCCTTGCCAGCGAAAATGGAACCAGATCACTGATGGAGAGCAGCTCAGTAAGTAAAGCTGGAACATGCATCGGGTTTTATGCTCATTTCTAGAACAATTCTGGTTCAATGCTACTGCATAATTTAGAGGAAATGTCAAAGCTAATTGGTGTAGCTGTTATCAATGGAAATGATATAATAGATGGACGATACTCCTATAATGACAATAATATTGGTATTTATATAATAATTATGATGCCTAATATGGTCTACTGATTGTTTTTTCACAGGAGTGTTCTTATCCCTTGCATCAAGTACTTCAAACTATACATCAGGAGGTACATAATAGTATTGAATAAATTTACCTTAGGCACATCATAAAACTCACCAGAGCCGATTTTGAGCTATTAGTAAATTTGACAAAATGGGCAACTTGCATGTACATCCATTTTATAATACTTATTATCAGGAGTCCCCTTAATTCTCCATCTAATGGACTCCTGTTGTTAACGATGCCTTTCTCTATCACATAGAGCTAAAACTTAACAAAACTGACACAAACTCTTCTAACATGACTGCCTCAATCCTCATACCACCTGCTAGTATATGTAACTCTGATACTGTGGATGACTATGGTTTGGAAGAGGAAGAGGAATACGATGGCAGTGGAGAGGATTATTATTATTACTATTATGATGAGCTGTGTCCTAAAGGAGTCCTCAATTGCACTCAGGACATTAATGGCTATGAGTATGTCTATTACAATTTATATGAACTATTTGGTGATTGTTCCAGAAAGCTAAAAGTTCCCCGCAGTAAGGATAATTCTACTTTTATTTTATATTAATAATGTTGTGCAGGTTGTCCGGTTGTAATTACTACATCAATAGCTGATAGTGTTTCATCTTTGCTCTCTGCCAGCCTTCCAGAAAACATGTCAGTTAAATATTTAATACATTATGGGATTTTATTTTTATCTAACATTATGATAGGACGATTGCTAGTCTTGTGTTGTCGAGTCAAATTGTTACAAGAAGCGAGAACAATTCTACTAATGTTACTCAGTCTCTTAGAGAAAATGCCATGCTACAGTTTAAGCTATTAATGGTATTTCTGTTGGGTGCCTGGTGCAGTCTTACTTTTTGTCTTTTAGCCAATGAATCTTACAGAATTTGTACCAAAATGCTATTATTGGGACACTTTAGAAAAGTGAGTATAGAATGCAGAAAAGGTCATGAATGTATTTCTAGTGTATGGTCTGATGATGGAATTGAGACACTAGTGTTATCCGATCAAGATGTATTATGTAATACGAGTCACTTGACTAGTTTTGCTGTATTAGTTGATCATCAAGGACTGATAGAATCAACTGTGAGTTTCAATGGATAAATAAAATACCATGCACATGTATGTACCTTGAATAGAACATTCCAAGTGCAGAAAGGAAGGCACTATCAATTGTTGGATACATTGGTCCAGGTTTTTCTTTACTTTGTCTCATCATTGCACTTGTTATAATGATCGCCTTAAGGTATTTTATTAAACTGTTTTCTTGATTCACTTATTTAATAGGAAAAGGATGAATACCAGTTTTCTGTACTGGATTCATCTTAACTTGTGCATTTCATTACTTCTGGCTTTGACAGTACTCTTAGTCGGCCTAGAAACAGCTCATCATTATAACGTATGCCATTATACAGTATAGCTGTGGCATCATGAATGTTACTATTATATGCAGTGGCTGTGTTCAATTGTTGCTGGTCTTCTTCATTATCTCTTCCTCTGTGTGTTTGCTTGGATGCTTGCTGAAGGGATCACACTATTCATAATGGTTGTGTATGTATTTGGAATAAAGTTTCTGAAGTGGCAAATCTTTATCCCTACAGCATGGGGTATGTTCTTATTCCTGTTAATAACATAATTCACGGCATGAGCTACTTGTCATATCCTTTACATCAATAGGCATTCCGCTATTCATTGTTGCAATATCCGCTGGGATCAGGCATGACCTATATGGAACTGATAATTAGTATGTGTGTGATAATAATTCATTTTTTATTTTTCTTTTATTAGTTGTTATCAGTATGTGTGTGATGATAATTGATTTTTCATTTTTCTTTTACTAGTTGTTGGCTCTCGTCTCAAAAGGGTCTTGTGTGGGCTTTCTTGGGGCCAGCCCTTACTGTAGCTGTTGTAAGGCTATCATGCTCATCACATCCAGTGTTTACTCATTATAGGTCAATACAATATTCCTTGTTATCACAATGATACAGATAGTCAGAGTCACATGGAATAAGCTAGACAATAATAAAATGTCAAAATCTAAAAATTTACAAACTGCAAAGTATAACGTCATCAATGAAATGTGAATGTTAATATTTTACTTCTGTATTACAGGTCAGCTATATTTGGGGCAATCGTATTGTTCCCTTTACTTGGTATTACTTGGATTATTGGAGTGTTTGCTGTCAGTCAAAACACAACAGTTTTCCTGTGGCTTTTCACAATTTGCAATTCACTTCAGGTATTACAGAAGTTTTGACTCTTTTAATTGTTAGGGTTATTTAATGTAGGGAGTTTTTATTCTCATATTTCATGTTTTCAAGCATAGAGCAGTACGTTTTGCAGATTAACTCACTTAATATAATGTTTTGTCATTCAAAGTTTTTGACACTGATTGCAAGAAAATGTCCATGCATGGATAGATTCATCAACGTACACTCAAGTGTAAGTTTTATTTTTTATTTATGGCAAACAATTATTAGTTGATTTAATAGGTCGAGGCATCTCGGAAACGCTCTACGTTCAGATGTAAGCAATAATCCTTTATTTATGTCGTTGTCGTGTATTTCTAGATGATAATAGCAGGAAGAAGTCTTCTAAGTCTGGTGTGAACCTATTATCACTTTCTGACAATCAAAGCAGCTACGATACAGAACATGTTAAGGAACTTGATGCAAATGAAGCAGCTAAATTGCAGAACTTTAAGATAGTATTTGATGAAAAGCTAAGTGCTGATGGTGAGCACTGCTGCATAGAAGCAGTTTTTTGTGGTCAAAGCATTAGTAAAGAAACTAAATTGGAAGGTAGTGAGGATTTTGAAGGAAGACAAACTACAAGCTGATAAAATTGTTTCTGTAAAAATATTTATTTTTCGCTACATGATCTAATGTATAAATTAATCATATACCTATTAGAGAGTATAAGTACCTACAAATTATAAAGCCCACTCTTTGGAGCATAGATGCATCTTTGTACCTTGCTTTTCTTAGCAGAAAAGGTGAAGAGTGCACAACTGCAAGAGACTGTTGCTAATTCTCACTATCAGCATTCAGCAACAGTACGAATTCGGTTGTGATGACTTGATGAGATTTGCTGATTATCAACAATTAAATAATGTCAATTTGTTGGAGCTCTCATCCATCAGCCTCAATAGCACACACTCCAAAGTCTAGCTACTGCTGCATTCCTTTGTCATTGAAGTGCCACTCAGAGACTCTGTGACCATAGTACAACTTGTGTTTCAGCTATCGAGAAAATGCAACCAAAGCATATGAAAGGAATGCTTGCATAATGGATTTCTCACGTTTGGTTTCTCATGAGTCAGATAGAGTATTCAATATTCAATGAGATAATTTATAAATATGCCACTGGAGGAAGAGGAGATCACAACATTCAGAGATAGCGTGACATTAAAAGGAGAGTCTGTTACTGAGTATGATAGCATCTATTGCCACCTATCAACTGACAGTTAGAGTTAAAATCAAATTGAGAAAAAAACTGTCCTAATGAAAATTATTTTTCAACAAAGTACTACAAGATTATTTTGAGGAATAAGTTTCAAATAAATTAATAACCAGTTTTCTCTGAAGAGCAGTTCATAAATTGTGGAGAAAGTCATTAATTAGGAATCAGAATCACATATTCCATCAGGCCTACCCATTTGTGATAGGACCTTGTCAAGCCACATGAGAGGACCATGAAGATGAATCTCAATCCAGCAGTGAGTACTAGTTATATCATGTCTGTTATACTCAGCACCCCATCCTTTGACAAAGCTTAGCTTTATCGTACACATCTTTGTAAGTTCATAAACTGTTTCAACTCCTTCAGTAACAGACTCAGCTAACGTGCTGGCAAAATCTTGATTATTGAATATTCTTAAGCTACAGCCAGGAGGAATTTTACACACTGTAGTTGGATGAAATCCATTGGAAAAATTATTATTTCGACTATGTACAAAGATAGCATTTTCACTGAGGCAATCTGCAATAACCTCACCATTGACATACACAAGGTGAACACCTTTACCGATGTGGCGACGAGTGTTTTCAATCAATCCACTACGACGAATGCTTGAGAACTGACCTAGACAAAATCTTTCACCAGTAGTAGAGGGGTCGGTGAATCCATCTACAACCACATCATTGGACGATGCTTTGAATACTTCTCCTACCCGATTGTTCAACTCATAGTAAAGTATACTACACCAATTTGGAGCTTCTTGGTATCGTATGGCAACAGGTCCAGGATCTACTGTACAATGTAATGTATGCATAAAAATTTAACAATGACTACACTATAATAATAATGACTGGGGAGCGGCTTAGGGTCATGATGGCAAAAATTAATAATATTAATTTTTCAATGCATAGCACACTGTAATCCCTTACAAGTGGAATAAACCACAAGCAACAAGTACATGTTACAGTTACAATGTATATATACATTTGCAAAGTAAAACTGTCTAAAATCAATAGCTGTGACAAAAAGTTCAAATCAGCAAGATGGTAAATTCATACAGTATTTTACTTACAGTGTACACGACAAGGTAGCGCCTGTATCATGTACTTATCATGTGCATCATGTACTTATGACGTTTTGTGGTGCACTCGTGTAGTTATTGTACTAGTGGCAAACACAGGTAATGCTGGAGATCACTCATGTAAAGGAAAACTTATAGCTGAGCGGTACTGCGCATTCTACTGTTTTTGCAAATTGCAATGTACACTCTGCTTTTTGTAGAAGTCATTAATTAAACATGAATTGCATACCTGGTAATGGAGATATGATTGAAGATGAAGATAGAGCAGGAGCAGAACTGACCGTACCTGCAACCAAAAATTAATGTAAAGCTTAAGTAAGGGTAGGGGAAAATTGGGAATGACATAAGCAAACAAGAAATAAAATTACCCGAAAGCATTCTCTATACATAGCAATAAAATTGAGTTTACTTGATGCACTTGTAGCTTCTGATGATGAAGGCCCTTCTGTTTCAGAATTAGCTGGACGTGGAGCCTCTACAAAAAGTTATGATTTGATTATGTTTATAACAAGGACAATGATTAGGCCCCACATTAATTAAACATTAGCTCATAAGACAGAACACACACACACAACTGCCCATAACAACCAACCATGAGCTGATACACACATAAAAAATGATGTACTAGAAATGATAAATAGACTAACTGTAATTTATGTGAATGTACTGTCTGCACACAAAACACTCATTAAGTATGATATATACCATTAGCATAATAGTGTACAAAATTTAGGAACCTGGTGAGTTTTTATCATGCTGTTTATCCAGACAGCTTGGCACAGCAGGTTCACAATTTGCTGCTAGTTGTGGGTTTTGTGGTACTAAAACTGGCGGTAAAACTAAAAGAGAACGAATAGTAAATATATAGAACCAAAAAACACAAATAAAAGGCAGGCCCAACAATTGCCTTTGTGCGAGACATAAAATAGAAAGAAAATGAAACAAAAATTACCTGGTGCTTCAACTCTCTTGTAATGGTAAGGGTTAATGCACACGTCTCCTTTATTTCTTGAAAAGGCAAACTCGCAATGATCAAGTGCTTTCAGCTCATGATGATTTTGTAGATCAGGCCATCTCCAGACACGACAGTATATAACATGTGGCAGCCCTTTTCTGTGAGACACTTGCATGCGACCATCGAGACTGCGGACTATTGTCACGCAGCGTGTCTGTGGATTGGCTTGAGAAAGAGCACGTTCTAGTTCTTCCAGGGAACCCCTTTGCTTCTTGAGTTTCTTCACGAGAGAATCAATGGCCTTTTCAGCCCACTTGTTATCCTCGTCACCTTGCTTCCAACCAAGAAGACGCTTGACAGCCGGCGAAGAGAAGATAGACATAGCGACGGGAGAGTTAGAAAGATGTCGGATTTATAATGCCTTTGAGAGAGTGACAATGGAAAATAAAGTCCTGATCGGCTCGCTAGACTACAACACACGTAAGGTAAGTCACTAATATTATTGTTGTTTGAGTATGTTTCTTTAGAACTTGGTAAATGAAAGGAGAAAGACAATTTTAAACTTATTTTCGAATTAGCAGTGTCCTCCACCAGTCTAGTTAGCACAACGAGTTAATAGTCTGTACCGTGTACTATACAACAGGCGGTCAGAGAGTGAGAAGTAGAGAAAATACAGGAAAAAAGCAGTCAAAGACTAAAGTCTAGACCAGGAATAGATCTAGCTGCCACTAATAATTATTATCACATGTCAGTGACATGGCTGTAATTAATAAATCACACCCACACTCAAGCGAGCTCAGTTGAGTCAGTCAGACTATATAACTTGTATTAGTGTTATTGTGTATTTCTAGATGATAATAGCAGGAAGAAGTCTTCGAACCAATTGTCACTTTATGACAATCAAAGCAGCTACGATATAGAACATGTAAAGGAATTTGATGCAAATAAAGGAGCTAAATTGCAGAGCTTTCAGATAGCGTTTAATGAAAAGCTAAGTGTTGCTGGTGAGCACTACTGCACAGAAACAGTTTTTTGTGGTCAAAGCATTAGTAAAGAAACTAAATTGGAAGGTAGTGAGAAGACAAATGGCAAGCTGATAAAATTGTATTCTGTAAAATATTTATTTTTAACTTGACTACATGATCTGTATAACATTAATCATAGACTACCTATTAGAGAGTATCTATGGTATAATTGCACTATGAATTATAAAGCCCCACCCTTTGGAGCAATGAAATAAATAGATCTAGATCCCTGTTTGACCTTGCTTTCTCAGCAGAAAAAGTGAAGAATAATGTTGCGTTTGGTTTTTGTTCTGATAATTTCCATCTCTAATGCAGAATACCAAGACATGTGTGGTAGTGGTAAGTTGTAACTCAATCCCTAATCTTTCATTAGTGTTGCCCCATAAACAGACAAGTATGATAGAGTTGGTGCTTTCCGACGCTGTATTGATGTAACTACTCCATTCCCTCCTTTTGACATAACAAAGCCAACGTGCACTCTTTCTACTGCACAACTGCAAGAGATTGTTGCTAATTCTCGCTATCAGCAACAGTACGGTTTTGGTTGTGATGACTTGATAAGATTTGCTGATTATCAACAATTAAATAATGTCAATTTGTTGGAGCTCTCATCCATCAGCCTCAATAGCACACACTCAAAAAGTCTAGCTACTGCTGCATTCCTTTGTCATTTGAGTGCCACTCAGAGACTCTGTGACCATTACAACTTGTGTTTCAGCTATCGAGAAAATGCAACCAAAGCATATGAAAGGAACGCTTGCATAATGGATTTCTCCCGTTTGGTTTCTCATGGGTCAGATAGAGTATTCAATGAGATAATTTATAAATACTTATTGAAGCCATCTTTAGTAGAATCATACAGCCAAGCAGGACGCTTCAATCTCGCCATTACACAGGATTATTTGTACACGTGCACATCACTTTTCCATAGAAATGACATTGAGGATTGTATTATACAGTTACTGAATCATTGCTTTTTATTTGAAGATGAGGCCCATTACCTGTGTTATAACGGAATTCAAGATAACTTCTGTAGTCAGTTTGGCGGTGATAATCAGCTAAGGTGCTACATTCTTTTAGAAGTAAAAAGGGTACTCAGTCTCGAAAGCCAATGTACAATGGAATACAATGAAAATGCATGTGTAAGGATAAATAAGCCTAATTATACTTTTATATCTGTCACTTATAGGAGAAAATACTGACTAGCATTGTTGATGAAAAGCCAATTGGTGATTTAAATTCTACTGATATTGATGAAGTAAAAGCCATTGTTGCTGGTAGTTCTCGTCGAGCCAATTATACAAATGAAACACTGACACAACTGAACAGGATTGTTGATTATTTCACTTTGAATGAGTCTGTTGTTTCACAAAACATTGACAAGCAAGATGCAAATGTAAGAAGTCATTTAATATCAATAGTTACTTTTTATACCCATATGTTTAACATTGCAGACATTTCTGTCAGTTATTAGTACTCTTGCCAGTAAAGAAGAAAGCTTAGCCTTACCAGAAAATAATGAAGTATATATGTTACACACAGCTCTATTAGCTATTATCATGTTAATAATAGACCAATTCTAGCACAGCACTGTTAAATGATTTGGCTGTGATGTCTAAATTGATTGGCTCAGCAGTTTTAACCTCAAATGATCAAGTGGAAGGAAATTTTGCATACAGTGACAACAATATAGGTACATGTATATAGTATGGAGTTTTTATCATTACCGTATAGCGGGTTTGTTTCGTGAGGGTAAACTTTCGTTTTCCATCCTCAAAATGACTTTTGTGAGGTTAAACATTCGTTCTGAAGACGTTAATAAGCTACCACGCCCATTAAAACTGGAATTTTGTTTGGTTAATTGTTCGTTCTCCTATCTTGAAGAACGAAAAGAACAAAAGTTTAGCCTCACGAAACAAACCCACTATACAGTATACCTTCTATCTCACATTGAAACTCCTATTTTATATTTTTAATTTTCACAGGCCTTTTCTTAACTGTTGGCTCAGTAGAGTATTTATCTGGGGGTAAGAAATCCTAGAATTTGTTTTCATATTATTTGTAATTAAATTTATAGCTTTAAAACTCAACAGCACTAATTCTTCTGCTGAAATTAATATCCCACCAGCTAGTGTTTGTGGATTTGATTATGAATTGAGTAAAAACGATGGAAGCTATGAATATGACGAGTATCCTAAGATATGCCAAGGAAGACCATCCTGCAATATATCTCAAAATGGTTTTACATATACCTGCTATGACATGTACACAATATTTGGCGAGTGTTCGAAAAGGATTGCAATTCCAAGGAGTAAGATTAGTGATGCATAAATTATTTTTATAAATTTGCTCAATAATTGGGCCAAAGACCAAGTACTATATTGTTTTGGGGCGAATCCTACTTAGTAACGCATCCTACTTAGCAACTCTACCGCATTACTAATAGTACATGATCTTTTATCAAATTACATCTAAATAAATTTACATTTTCTGCTAATTATGCATGCACTTATGTTGAGTATATAGTTCCAACTAAAATTTTAAAGTTATGACCATTATAAATTGTAGCAAATTTTTGTAGAAAAAGCAAAGACTGTAGTCCATTGTTTTCAAAAAATGGCTTCAAAATCACCCCCCCAAGTGTTATTACATTTTCTGATACACATTGATGTCCTTATGCTATGTATTTCAAATTATTCCTGTGTAATAATATCAACAGGTTGTCCATCAGTAGTATCAACTTCAATAGCAAAGCTTTCACTCCCTGGGACTCTTCCTCCAAACATGTCAGTATAATATGAATTATTATTAATGTGTTTATATAGTCCTACTGCTATAATAGGACAATAGCAAGTAATGTAATAAATGTTCAAATTGTCACAAGAAATGAAGACAGCTCAGTCTCTAATGTTCATTCACTCAAAGATAATGCATCACTGCATTTTAAATTAGCAGAAGTAAGTGAACAATAATAATGCTTGATTATTAACTGTGTTTATATCAGCCTATCAAAGAGAATTTCATTCCAAAATGCCATTTTTGGAATACTACAGAAAAGTAGGGGTTACAAGCTAAGTGACTTAATTTACAATAATCAAATTAATTTTAGTGTTTGGTCTGATGTTGGAATTGAGACGCTAGTGTTATCTGATGTTGATATATTATGCAACACAAGCCACTTGACTAGTTTTGCTGTATTAGTTGATCACCAAGGATTAATTGAGTCTGCATCAAGTTCAACTGCTCATAATGTACATAAAATAATTATCTATAATGAAAATAATTATTGTTAATTTTTTGCACAGGGTACAAGTATTATTCCCAGTACCGAATTACAGGCACTATCAATTGTTGGATACATTGGCCCTAGCATTTCTCTACTGTGTCTCATTATTGCACTTGTTATAATGATCTATTTAAGGTATACCATTTATATTTTATTATTTTTTTACTTCTTTGTTACACATAGGAAAGAGATGAACGTAAATTTTCTGTATCACGTTCATTTAAACTTGTGCATTTCACTTCTCTTGGGATTAACAGTATTTCTATTTGGATTGGAAACAGCTATACACTATGATGTATGCCTATTCTATCATCATCGAATATTAATCTACTCATTTATATAGTGGCTGTGTTCAATTGTTGCTGTTCTTCTTCATTATCTCTTCCTCTGTGTGTTTGCTTGGATGCTTGCTGAAGGGATCACGCTATTCATAACTGTGGTGCATGTCTGGGGAATGAAGCTCCTTAAATGGCAGATTTCCTTACTCACTGCATGGGGTGAGCATGTGCTTGTGTTTATGATAGCAGATATTCATTAGTTTACTTGCAGGAATCCCATTATTCATTGTGGCAGTATCCTTTGGAATTAGGCATGACTTATATGGAACAGATAACTAGTATGTTCCCCTTGCCTGTTATTATTTGAGCTATTAATTTTTTATCAGTTGTTGGCTCTCATCTCAAAAGGGTCTTGTGTGGGCTTTCTTGGGACCAGCCCTTGCCATTGCTGTGGTAAGAATGGACTAATGTATTTCTCACAATAATGACTAATGTGACCTTTAGATCAACACAATATTTTTAATGGTCACCATGATACAGTTAGTGAGAGTGATACGAAATAAGTTTGACCATAGGAAAAATTCAAAGAACTTGAAAACTGTTAAGTATGATATGCTCATGATATGAGTAATTTTTATCTCACAATTATTACAGGTCTGCTATATTTGGAGCAATTGTATTGTTCCCTTTACTTGGTATTACTTGGATTATTGGAGTGTTTGCTGTCAGTCAAAATACAACAGTTTTCCTGTGGCTTTTCACAATTTGCAATTCACTTCAGGTTCATGTTAAGTGTTTGCATTCATTCTTTTAAAATCTTTTATGCAGGGTGTCTTTATTCTCATATTTCATGTGCTCAGACACAAAACAGTAAATTCTCTTAATCCATAGTTTTACTAGTTTAAGCATAATAATGATATTATAGGTTTTGACATGGATTGTAAGAAAATATCCATGCATGGATAAATGGATTGAAGTGCATACAAGTGTAAGTTAGTCATGCAGTGTAGATTACTAATATTCTAACTATTTGCTTTATTTAGTCTGAAGTAATTAGAAGGATGTCTGCAATGAAACGTATGTTGCAGTTCAATATAAGTTCTGTAGTAATTTGTGGTTTTTTGTTTAGTTTCAGTGGGTAAGCTTGCACCTCAAGACATGCTTTCTGCCAAGTTTGGTCTCAGGCGAAATTCTTCGTACAGTCTGAGTGATTTAATTGTGTCAACAAGTAATGAAAACTGCATTAACTCAGAGCTTGATACTATTGCAGAAGAGGGTGACGATGAGGGGGTGGCTTAATAATAAAATTCATTTTTATATTTTTTTATAAACAATAATTCTAAGCGAGCCCCGCCCGAGCACGCTCGAGCGCGCTCTCATGCATTCAATATCGCCGAATTTGGCTCCACCTACGCATATTTTCTTTCCAATGAAGATGCTCTTGTCTTCATTGCTGTTCCTTCTTTTCATTGCTACTGCACACAGCGTTTACAAAGGTAAGTACCTAAAACATTGAATTAAATTAGAGATTTTGTCTAGATGGTACTGGAGATGAGAGATTGCGTGCTTTTAGACGTTGTGTTGCAGATAACGACCTTCCCCAGCTGAACACAAGCAAGCCAAGATGCCCCGTTACCAACACACAGCTACTTAACATTGCTGCTAATTCCCGTTATCAGCAAGATTATGGCTTTGGTTGCGATGATTTGATGAGATTTGCGGACTATGCCGAGTCACAAAACCTTGAGTTAGAGGAGCTTTCTTTCTTCAACCCCAATACCACCCATACACCATGGCTGAAATTTGCTGCATGGAGATGCTACAATAGCATTGCAAATGAGCTATGCAATGAGTACAGTCTGTGTTTGACCCGAAACCAAACCTTGATGTATTGGAAACATTCTTGCACGATGGAGTTTATGAGCTTAGTTTCTCGTAGAACAAATGGAGCATTCAGTAATAAGATTTACACATATGTAACGGCAGTGAGTTTATTAAGATCTTTTTTTGAGGCTTACTACACTGGGTATAACTCAGCCATTACACAGCATTACCTTTACACATGCACATCAGGCTCTGAATCAAATAATCTTGAGAATTGTCTGATTAGTTTGTTGGACCATTGCTTTGCATTGGAGGATGTCTATTATTATTATTCGTACTGGTGCTATATTGGAGTCATGAACAGACTATGTGTCCAGTTCAGAGGTGATGAAAGGCTTCGTTGCAGAATTTTGATAGAGACAAGACTGGAAGTCAGTCTGGAAAATCAGTGTGCCAACGAAAACAATGAAGGAAAATGTGTAAGTAACTGAAGCTGAGAGGTAATTATATGCATTATGCATGTATATTATAGGAGAAAATACTGACTAGCATTGTCGATGAAAAGCCAATTGCTGATTTGAATTTTACTGATATTGATCAAGTGAAAGCTGTTGTTGCTGGTAGCTCTCGTCGAGCCAATTATACAAATGAAACACTGACACAACTGAACAGGATTGTTGATTATTTCACTTTGAATGAGTCTGTTGTTTCACAAAACATTGACAAGCAAGATGCAAATGTAAAAGATCATCTTATATATATTTTTATTTTTTCTCTTTACAATGCAGACATTTTTATCAGTTGTTAGTACACTTGCTAGTGATGAAGGAACGAGAAATCTAAGAGAAAACAGCACAGTATGTTAATGTGTAGTGATTAAAAATTATCAATATGATGTTTTTAGAATAATTCTGGTGCAATGCTATTGCGTGATCTGGATAAAATATCTAAAGTAATTGGTTCTGCTGTGGTAACTGAAAATGAACAAATAGAAGGAAATTATGCCTACAATGATGAGAATATAGGTATGTATGTGTAATGCCAAGGCTATTTTATCTGCTATTGTTCTATGCATAGGTTTTTTCTTGGCTCTTGGCTCTAGTGATACAAATTATTCATCAGGAGGTAATATTGATAATCATATTTACATCTTGCTATTCATTGTCATGAATCTAGCTCTAAAACTCAATAAGACTGATACTACTTCTCCTTACATGACTGCTGAAATTAGTATATCAGCCACCAGCATCTGTGGGTTTGCAACGACTGATGAAAGCATTGGAAGTGGTGATGATTTTGACTATTACTATGATTATCCCAAGATATGTGAAGGGAGACCAAAGTGTGATATAGATGGGTATATTTACTATGATTTGTACACAATATTTGGTGACTGTTCAAAAAAGCTAAAAATACCAAACAGTGAGTGATATTATTTCTTGAATATTTTTAAAATAGTTTTATTCTCACAATAACAGGCTGTCCGTCTGTGGTAGCAACTTCAATAGCAGACAAGCTTCCCTTGTTACTCTCGGATGACCTTCCTTCAAATATGTTAGTTAGTTAGCAGATGATACTGCTGTGTTAACTTAGTTCTAATTAGGACAATAGCCAGTCTAGTACTTTCGAGTCAAATTGTCATGAAGAATGAAGATAATTCGACATCTGTCACTCATTCACTCAAAGAGAATGCAACGCTTAATTTCAAACTTTTAAAAGTGCATATACATAAAAAATGATATTTTGTTATGATTGTCTTATAGCCAATAAATCTTACAGAATACATTCCAAGATGCTACTATTGGGACACTGTGGAAAAGTATGCTATAATAATAGCTGGTTCATGCCATGCTTTGTCTTTCTGTAGTATGTGGTCTGATGCAGGAATTGAGACAGAGGTTTTAACTAATGATGAAGTCAAGTGCATTACAAGCCACTTGACTAGTTTTGCTGTATTAGTTGATCATCAAGGATTAATTGGATCTGCATCATCAAGTTCATCTGAAAATGTATATAGAATAATTATCTGTAACTGAAAATAATTTTATGTTATTTTTTTGCGCAGGCTACAAGTATTTCAAGTACCGAATTACAGGCACTATCAATTGTTGGATACATTGGTCCTAGCATTTCTCTAGTGTGTCTCATCGTTGCACTTGTTATAATGATCCTCTTAAGGTATTTATTTTTAGAATAATAGTTAATGTTGTATCATTATGTTATAGGAAAAAAATGAACACAACCTTTTTATACTTTGTTCATATCAACCTGTGCATTTCACTAGTATTGGCATTGTCTGTACTGATAGTTGGATTGGAAACGGCTGACCATTACAGTGTATGTACTAATAATAATGCTCAATGTGTGTAGCAATAACTCTATATTTTATATAGTGGCTGTGTTCAATTGTTGCTGGTCTTCTTCATTATCTCTTCCTCTGTGTGTTTGCTTGGATGCTTGCTGAAGGGATCACACTGTGCATAATGGTTACATATGTATTTGAAATGAAGTTTCTCAAGTGGCAGATCTTTTTGCCGGCAGCATGGGGTAGGCACACAGGCCATGATTGTATAAATAATGATATTTTAAATAGGTATTCCAGTATTGATTGTTGCAGTAGCTGCTGGTATAAGATATGAGCAATATGGAACAGAAAATTAGTATGTGTGACACGTAAAATCCTCAAAGGTCTCTAATTTAATTTTTAGTTGTTGGCTCTCAACTGAAAAAGGTCTTATATGGGCTTTCTTGGGTCCAGCTCTTGGAGTTGCTTTGGTAGGAACAATAAATCAGAAATATCTGTACAATGTATTTTGCTTATAAAAATAGGTCAATACAATCTTTCTAATAATCACAGTGGCTCAGCTAGTCAGAGTTACATGCAGTAAGGTGGACACCAACAACAGCAAAACTTCGAAAAACTTCAAAGCTGCTAAGTAATTAAAATTATTTAATGCTATATAGTACATCTGTAATTTTGTGCATTACTTCAGGTCAGCTATATTTGGTACAATCATTTTGTTTCCTTTGCTTGGCATTACTTGGACCATTGGAGTGTTTGGTGTCAGTCAGGATACTACGTTTTTCCTGTGGCTCTTCACAATTTGCAACTCACTTCAGGTATAATGAATCATTATTATAACAAGCAATGATGATGCACATGAAATTTGACCTCTCTCTTACTGCACACACACCGTGAATATTTTATCATGTGCTGTGTGTCATTGTTCTTTATATGCAGGGCGTGTTTATTCTTATATTCCATGTGCTTAAGCACAAAGTTGTAAGTTAACCTCTTTAGGTTGCATGCATCCTATTTCCTGTGATGTTATCATTATGATAGGTCTTGACATGGCTTGCACGTAGATTCCCATGCCTGGATAGATGGATTGAGGTGCACACAAGTGTAAGTGTTGCAGGAATAATGTGTAGATTTATTTACTTTATGTGAATAGGCTGAGGCAAGCAGAAGATTGTCAAAACAAAGGCGTATGTTGCAGCTGCATGATAATATTATTTTTTATTTTTTGGGTTTTTTTTTCAGTCTCTGTTATTCATGATCCAAAGCTTCCTAAAAGAAGACTGTCTGATCAGTTTGGTATCATATCCCAGGTTGAAGACAGCACTGTGATGACAGATCTCGAGCCTATAATAGAGGAAGCAGAAGAGAATGATGATTAACTTGCAACTAATTTACAATTTGCAAAACACTACAGCTAGCTATATCCCCTAATTTTCAAATTGCTGCTTCTCATTAAAATTAATTAATTAATTATTCTTTTGTGGGCGTGGTTAATGTGGTAAGCATCACGTGAGCTTTCTGCCTTTCATCATTCTTGTTCTTGTTGTGGTGGTCCGTTAAGAGAAAGGGTAGGAGGACCAGGATAGGTAAGATACTTCTCTGTACTACTTCTTGTGAAAGCGTAAAAGCCTTTATTAGTACTGTCTTATCATAATAGTCCGTCTTGAACTGATTTGGACATATATATGTGTGTGTATGTGTATGTACATAAAGTTGACTGTTAAGTTTAAAATGGCAGCCCATCACAGATACTTTAATTATAATTGTAATATATTTCATTGCATTATTTTGTCATTGTGTCGCTACATTGAGTCTATGAGGGGAGCCAAAATTTTAACTGAGAGGAGGGGCAGTCAACAACAGGACATCAAGTCAATTGTCACCTTGTAAATGTATTCCTTGTTTTCTAACTAATTCCCACTTTACGTATCTAGCAAATGACCAATTATATCTCTACAATACATTTATCTTCTCATTTGTTTCTCCGTGGCACACACACAGTTATTATTATAAACACATAGAGCAACATGGCAGGATCAGAGACACACATTGAACCCAAGGAGCTAGATAAGTGGATAGCTAAGCTTGAGGACTGTAAGCAGCTAGAAGAAAATAATGTCAAAAATTTGTGCGAGAAGGTATCGATAATAGTTACTAGTTTCAAGTAGCCATTTTGATTGCACCATATATATCCTAATTAACCGAATTCAACCCTTCACTGATTATATTGCACTATCTAATTTAATATACTCTACTCCTCCCCCACCTCATCAGGCAAAGGAGCTATTATCACAAGAATCTAATGTTCAAGAGGTAAAGTGTCCAGTCACAGTCTGTGGGGATGTACATGGTCAGTTTCATGACCTCATGGAGTTGTTCCGCATTGGAGGAAAGAGCCCCGACACTAATTATCTTTTTATGGGCGATTACGTTGATAGAGGGTATTATTCTGTAGAGACTGTCTCTCTCCTTGTTGCTTTAAAAGTAAGGATGGATGCATAATTACATGTATGTATGTATTACTATGATCAGTTAAAACTGCATGGAACTACATTTAGGCTTTAGGCTATGTTCACACAGCAACAATTGTGTATCGTTTTGTGGCTGTTTTATGTTTCTGTTTGTATGCAAGCTAATGAAAACATGATAAGACTTTATGGGAACAAAAACAACGGGATTCAAAGTGTGACATTTAAAGAGATGCTTTTTGCATTGGTGTGTAAATACAGCAGGTTTAGTTCTTTAGAAGGCAGGGCATAAGCATAGGCTGCATTAGTTTAAAGCCAAACCTTGCCATTTTGACTATAGTGATGTTTGTTTAGATTTTTGCAGGTGCTGTACATGTAAAATGGTGCGTTTTATCACTTCTTTAAGAGTGGGTAGTGACTAATGGTGTGCATACAATGTCTGTACAGTATATGTGTGTGTGTGGTCAGTCAGCATTCCTTAGCTATTGCTACTGTCTGATGCACTTCCTTAATTGGACTTTTACTTATCCTTTTTTTTTTCTTTGTCTCTCTTCCCTTTCTTATTTCTGTAGGTCCGTTTTCCAAATAGAATTACTATACTTAGAGGAAATCATGAAAGTAGACAAATCACTCAGGTGCCCATCTTATTATTATAATAAATTTCTTCTTTACTTCTATGTATAATTAACTTTCTCTCTCTCTTTCTTAAGGTATATGGTTTTTATGACGAGTGTCTCCGGAAGTATGGTAATCCTAATGTTTGGAAGTACTTCACTGATCTCTTTGACTACCTACCTCTCACTGCATTAGTTGATGGACAAGTGAGTTTGTGTCATTGATATTATTATTATTATTATCATTATTATCATTATTATTATTATTATTATTATTAGATATTTTGTCTTCACGGTGGCCTGTCGCCATCAATTGACACTTTGGATCACATTCGATCACTTGATAGATTGCAAGAAGTTCCACACGAGGTACGCAATGGATTACATGCATAACTAATGCACAGGAGCTATTCTTACTTTGATATTATAGTGATAGTAATTGAATTCTTTTGCTTTGAATAAAACAATGTGCATAGCCTTTGATCTTGGGCCAAATTTTTGCCAGAAATGAAAAGGAGAGAATTCTCTACTTCTATATTTTTTTCTGATGCATATACATGTTCTTATGTTGTGTAGAAAGTTTGAGGTGATTCCGATCAAATTTGGATTTTTAAAGAATTTTTTAAGTTGCTCCAAAATTGAGCCAAAGTCCCTGTACTATAGTACAAGGTATTTGGCCAAATTTTACCAAAAATGAAAAGTAGAGGATTCTCCATTTTCAAATTTTTTTCTGATATGTATACATGTTTTTATGCTGTGTAGAAAGTTTGAGGTGATTCTGATCAAATTTGGATTTTTCACGAATTTTTAAAGTTGCTCCAAAATTAAGCCAAAGTCCCTGTACTATATAGTACAGGGTATTTGGCCAAATTTCACCAAAAATGAAAAGTAGAGGATTCTACATTTTCAAAATTTTTTCTGATATGTATACATGTTTTTATGTTGTGTGGAAAGTTTGAAGTGATTCTGATCAAGTTTTGATTTTTAAAGAATTTTTAAAGTTGCTCCAAAATTGAGCCAAAGACCAAAAAGGCTATAGTACTGTATATTGGGGGAGATTTTGGAGCAAAAAAAACTATGGGCTATAGCCTTTGCTTTTCATTATTTTATGCTTTGTATATGTGTATAGGGCCCAATGTGTGACCTCTTGTGGTCTGACCCTGATGACAGAGGTGGTTGGGGTATCTCCCCTCGTGGAGCCGGTTATACCTTTGGACAGGACATCTCTGAGAATTTCAACCACAACAATGGCCTAACACTTGTCAGCAGGGCTCACCAGTTAGTCATGGAAGTAAGCAGGAGGATATAATCTGATTTTATAAATAAATCATAAACAATTCCATCAATTGCTCCACTTTAGGGTTACAATTGGTGTCATGATCGGAATGTTGTCACCATTTTCTCTGCCCCCAATTACTGCTATCGTTGTGGAAATCAGGCTGCCATCATGGAGCTAGACGACGGTCTTAAGTACACATTGTAAGTAGAAAATCAAACCCCCAAACTATGATATTGAATGACACTCAGAGTTCATTTATTACTTATTTTCTCTTTATTTCTAGCCTCCAGTTTGATCCGGCTCCAAGGCGTGGTGAACCACTAGTCACTAGGCGTATACCTGATTACTTTATGTAATTGAGTCTCTCTCCTTGGAAGTCACTTTAATCCACTCACACTTTAGTGAGTGCATCTAATGTGGTGCAATGCATGACTTGACTTTCTGTTATTATTAAGCCTCTTTCTCTCTCTTCCTCTCTCTCTCACTCAAAGTATGTGTCTTGCTCTTTTACATAGTTTTATGATAAATGAACATTTTAAAATACAATAATAATTGTTAGGAGTCATTATGTTTTATGTTTCATGTGTTAATTATTTATCACTGATTGATGGTCACTTGGAATACTCTCTACTGTTTAGCTGAAGGTCTGTCAATGGGATTGTGAAAAAGCAGTCACATAGAGTTTCTTTTGTTATAATGTAAACAAACTTTGAAAATTATTGCAAATAAACTGACTGATTAAGGGATAGTTTTGGTTTGGAAAGGGTAAACAGCACAATTCATTTTCAAATACCTTAGTTACCTTTCAATTTCATAAAAAGCTCATGTCGTATTTGTCTGATGGAGATCCCTTATGTTAAAGTCATCTCTTCACAATGGGCTGTTATGGTACTCCTCTGGGATATCCTGATGTATTGTCAAGTTGTGTTCCTGAGACATTACACTGTATTATCTATCAATTCCTCTAATCACAGTGGCTGGCCTGGGATTGATATTTTGTACTGCCTGATCTTCTTATCATTTCCTTTCTTTGGTCTGTTAGCTGATGTGTGGGTTGGTAGGTACAGGATAATTTCATTTGGTCTCCTGTTGTGTTTTTTCTCATGGTTGATGTCAGGTATTGGTTTAATTTTGAAGTACGTTGTGGATGAAGAGTATGCATTTCTGAGCATTTTTCTGGTGGGATATGTACTACAAACTATTGGCTATACTTCTTTTAAGGCTAATATAATTCAGTATAATGTTGATCAGCTTGTTGGAGCTTCAGCTTATGAACTAAGTGCACTAATTTACTGGCATTCTGCTGGCGTTCCCATATCATTTGCTTTGTACTTATTGGGAAGATGCTTGATTCCTGAAGATTACTTTCTGTGTGTAACATTCACACTAGCAGGAATATCTGTATCTTCTGTACTGGTATCACACTCTTTATTCAAACATCGACTGGAGAATATAACTTTATTAAAGAATCCCATCAAACTGATAGGTAGAGTATTGTGTTATGCCAGGAAGCACAAGTATCCTGAGAATCGTAGTGCTCTGACCTACTGGGAAGAAGAGGCTCCTTCAAGACTAGACCTGGGTAAGGATAAATATGGTGGGCCATTCACAGAAGAAGAA